GGAGCTAAGAACACAAACAAATGTGACCCTTCCCCTTTGGTGTTCCCATAGGGTGGGCCAAAGCACCTCGAATCTAATAATCATAAAACAAATGGAAAATATTAAGTATAAAATGCTACAAAGAGAGGCACATGATGCTGTAAGAAGGCCAATTTACCAAAAAATCAATTTGCAGAAAACCAATTTGCCAAAAGTCAATTTTCCAAATCACTGATTCGCTGAATTTCCTAACAGACAACTCTCTGAAAGCTAATTTGCCAAAAAGCCTGCTTCTAGAAAATCAATTTGATGAGTAGTCTGCCAGATCATAGTTCCACCAAATGATCAATTCACTGAATTGCTGATAACTTTTGAAGTCTTCATTTCATAGTTTTGATGCATTCACGACAGCGCTTTAACCCCTGAATTTTCCTGTGTGTCTGGAATGAATGTGAGTTTCATGTTTTTCACACTTTAAATGCAAGGTCCTACTCCACTACTGCCCGGTGAGAAAGCATTCCAGTGCAAGCGTCTCTTCCGTGCAGCTCACCGCAGAGCCATCCTGGATCAGGTTGGTGAACTAATCTGCACGCTGTCTGCCGCCAAATTGTTGTCAGCAGACTGGCCGTTTGTGGATCTGACTCTGCACTAACTGCTTCTCAGTAAAACTGCCGAAGTCTGTGTGCTGAGGGCCTACAACAGACATCTAAAAAAAAACAATAACTGAACTCAGATGTGACGAATTCGTGAGGCTGGGCGGTGGTGGCGCATGCCTTTAATCCCAGCACTCGGGAGGCAGAGGCAGGTGCGTCTCTGATAACAATATCCTGGAGAAAGGAATGAAAGGAACGTAGGAGGATGTCCCAGCAAAAGCTATAGCGTGGGAGAGAAAGGTGTGAACTGAGGTAGGTAGAGCCCGAGGTGGGGTGGGGTGGGGCAGGGTGGGGCAGGGTGGGGTCCCAGGCAGGGTTTCTCTGTAGCTTTGGAAACTGTCCTGGAACTAGCTCCTGTAGACCAGGTTGGGATTAAAGGCGTGTGCACCACCACCACCACCACCACCACCACCACCACCACCACCACCACCACCGCCGCCGCCCGACAATTCCTGCATTATTTTAAGACGTGGAATCTTTAACGCATTTTAAGTAGGAAAAATGACACTGTTGGCTGTGAGGATTTTTTTTGGTTTTGGTTTTTTGATTTTTGTTTTTCGAGACAGGATTTCTCTGTATTGTTTTGGAGGCTGTCCTGGAACTGGCTCTTGTAGGCCATGCTGGCCTTGAACTCTCAGAGATCCACCTGCCTCTGCCTCCGGAGTGCTGGGGTTAAAGGCGTGCGCCACCAATGCCTGGCTCAGCTGTGTTTTGAAAAGATCACTGTTATAGATTTAAGTGTGTGCTTATATAGGCTAATCTCTCACCTACAATTTTTTTTTTTAGTTTTGATAGTCTAGGAGAGAGATGCTAGTATTCATACAAGAGTATGGAAGAGGTGAAGTAAATTTCAGTAAATCCCCTGCCATGCTATGAGGTAGCAAAAATCAGGTTTGTTGCGGAGGTACTGGGCATGTGTGTGAAGAACAGAGAGTCACAGACAGTTCCTGACTCTGTGTTGCACATCTGTACTGAAGTGCTATTGCTAAGAAGAAAACCAGGGCCGGGCGTTGGTGGCGCACGCCTTTAACCCCAGCACTCGGGAGGCAGAGGCAGGTGGATCTCTGTTCAAGGCCAGCCTGATCTACAGAGAGCAAGTTCCAGGACAGCCTCCAAAGCCACAGAGAAACCCTGACTCGAAAAAAAAAAAAAAAAGAAGAAGAAGAAGAAGAAAACCAGGCTTGAGCAGTATTTTTTCAACAAGTTGCCACATATGTCCTTGTTTTATGCATCTCTTAGAATATCTTCTTTCAAATTTTAAGTTATTGAAGGGATTAAATGTGAGTTTGGTCAAAGATGTTTCATACAATGTAGTTCCTCCGCCGGCTGGGAGTTGGAACTCTTTTAAAGGCACTTTTTATTTACTGACAATGTCATACGTATATAAAATGCATCTAGATCATATCCACAGCTTACTCCCCTGACACCATCCCTTGTCCTCTCTTGTGGCCCACCAAGTCCAGGAAGCACTGCTGCCTGCTGGAGTGTTGGCAGACCCAGCTGCCTTGCTCCAGTGCTGGGTGCCACAGCTGTTGCAAGTTTGTAAGTGCAATGGCCATGACAAGCCCAGCCCAGAAGAGAGCATCCCCAACACTTCCCCATCGCCTGGCTCTTACATTCTTCCCTCCCTCTTTCCCATGGGGTTCTCTGAGCTTTGGGGACTGAAGTAGCTGTCTCATTTTGCTGTGCCCAAGTTGCAAAGTCCCCAGAGACCACCAGGAAGACAGACCCACTAAACTGCAAAAGCAAGGTTTTAATTGTTCATTCAACCATGACAGGGAGCCTGTCTAGCAAGCTGACACAGCAGCCTCCAGAGGGAGTGAAGTTCCCTGTCTACTGCTAGGTTTTAAAGACAAAAGTCACAGGATTACATCAGTAGATACGGGTTGGTTTCTGATTGGTTGACATTTGGGAACAATTAGGAGCATTTCTCAAAGTCATATTTTGGCATGAAATACCTGTGTACCAATTATTCTCATTGGTCAGTGCTGAGAGGAAATATTCTGTGGTTTCTATGGCATTGTCTTGTTACTTGCAGGTGGCCTGTTGTACATAGATACCAACAGTTTTCAGAACTGTATCCTGGAGACTACAGGGGAGGTTTTGTTCCCCCCTGGAGTTTCTTTTGTGGCCAAACAGTTCCCAGGAACCGTACATCTAGGAGGCTGGGTGAGGGGAGTCTGGAGTTTCTTTGTGTTCAATTTTGGTCCTAGACTCCGGGAGGCCACCGGATCTGGAGTTTCCTTGTGTCCAAGGCCTACGTGTCTTTTCTGTAGCCTGTCATGGCTGCTAAAGCAGGATCTGAGTGAGGGTCTGGTCCCTTTATTTCTAAATTATTAGAAGTGAAGCCCTTGAGTTTAGTTTATCCCTTTCTGTTTAAGGCTGAGCACTCAACAGCTGTCCACTAACTGTCAACCAACTGTTCACTACGGAAGGAAGCTTCCAAGGTTGGCAGTAGCACTAATCTGGGGGTATAAGCATGGATATCTGGAAGGCAGTTTGACAACATGTCCATTTAGCAAAACAGCAGCAATAGCTTCCCCAGTAGAGCCTATGACCTCTGGAGTCACAGATTTTGGCCAGGTTTTTAGTTTCAGGCATGAATTCCTTCCTATGGAGCAGGCCTCAAATGCAACAAAAAGGTTCTTGGTTAGCCTCCCCCCCCCCCAATTATCTGTGTGCCATTAGGTACATCCGTGGGCACGTCTTGCCTGGTAGGTTGGTACTGTAGCAAAGGTACACTGCTGGGTAATACCTTTGATGGCTTTTCTTACCGGGCAGCCAGCGAGGCACGTCAACTCCAGCTTGATCTCTCTATGTCTTGCAACCAAAATGTGTGGTATCTTCCGAAATAAGGCCAACAACCATCTAGCCACAGTGGACATCCATAGCAATGGCACTAGTCTGCTTCGTTTTGGCGGACTCTGGAGCCAAAAATCCCACTGAACACTGATACGTTTTCTTACTACATTGCTTGAAGTCTTCATACATTACTACGTGCCTGCATGAATTCCTGACACCGCAAGAAAAGATGTGCAGAACAGTGTTGGTGGCCCTGGAACGTCCCCTGCTAAGCCTGTGCTGTGAAGACTTGGAAGCAATCTAGTTAAGCTCGGCATGGGGCAGGAGCTCTAACTTGCGTGTGCCTGGATCCTTCTCATGAAGACCTGTGCTGCAGTGGGTTGTTTAAGGGTTCAGTGAGTTAATCCTGGGAAATGTTTAGATCAGCTCCAAACTCACTGAGTATTGTCATTTACATAGAATTATACAAGGAAACAATGGTGCTATGTAAACTATGAGGCAGGAGCTTATGCAGAATGTGTTTCAAAGTCTCATTTAATCACCCCAAACACCCCAAGTTCTGCTTTTGTGTAGTTGTAAACTTTAGGTTGAAATATTCCCTAATGGAGGGAGAGTGGGGCTCTCAAGAAAGTTACAGAACTCACCAGACTCAAAAGGCCTCCCCTCTGGGTGTAGAAAGGAGATTCTTCATGAGATTCTTCAGTATTCCTGCGGCCCGCAAGTTTCATATGGAATCAGCCTTTGAGCTGTCGTGTATCTTAGGGTTTTATTGCACAGCAACTCCTATAAAGGAAAATGTTTAATTGGGCTGCCTTACAGTTTCAGAGGTTTAGTTTATCGTCCTCATGGTGGGCTATGGTGACGTGCAGGCAGACATCGTGCTGAGAGTCCTACATCTTGATCCACAGGCAGCAGGAAAAAGAAATGTGTTACCGAGGCCAGACTTGAGCTTATAAAATGACAAAACCCACCTCCACAGTGACATGCCTACTCCAACAAGGCCACACCTCCTAATAGTGCCACTCATTCATACGCATGAGTCTAAGGGGGCCATGCACATCAGGTAGGACTTTTTGGTGATATGGCAGCTGATGTTGCCCGTGCTCCTATACATACCGTTCATCTGTACTAGTCAATAACCCAAACAGACTCACTGGTTTACCAGGATGGACTTGGGTGGACCCATAATTGTCCTCTCTGTGGAGCAAATAGAAATAGCTTTCCCAGGCAGCAGCTCAGTACCTGTTATCACCGGTCTATAGATGAGAAGCCTGAAATGCGGAGACTGCTTTCCCCAGATCCACACGGCTACTAACCAGTGACACTCAATATCAAGCGTAGAACACCGATCCCTCCTGTTCAGGTCTTGTTCCTAATGCTAAGAGACACTGCCGAGCTGCCTATGCCATCCTCTCAAAGTCCACTGTTATAACCACCCAGACACCATCTTAATGATAAAAATATAACTAATTAATTAGCACCAATATTTAACTCTATCTCTGCATTCTGTTTTCTCAATAAAGACTCAGAAGCCAGATGCTGGGGTGAAAAAACCTACTGCTCAGAGAGGCGGAGTTTCCATAAAAGTAAGACCACCCTCCACGGCAGATTTGCAATGCACCAGAACCCTCTTAAGGAAGATGTGGAGAACTTGGGAGAACACAGGTGAATGCTTGTTAGGAAGAGATGGAAGCTGACAGCACTGTCCCGTTGTGAAGAACCTGCTCTTGTGTCTGTCTGACAGCAGTGCATAGAAATACCTAAGTAGTGCTTTCCTAAGTCGTTAGTGCAGGATCTGTTTCCTCACGTGTTGTTAGAGAGACAGCTCAGGGCAGAAGGGACCTACGGGAAGGGCGGCACTGCCCTAGGCACCTAGTGTGGGCCCCACCATAATCCTCGCCCAGGCCGGTTCTCACAGGTGAGTCTGCAGCAAGCAACCTTCCAAAAGCACTGGAGTATCTAGTCGAGCTCTTAGAACACTAGCTGTGTTGTGTGAGCAGGCTCCGGCTGGGGCCCCTCACCACTCCCACAGGAAGGAGAGGCAAGAGGAAGCAAGACAAGTGTTTCTGACCCAGAAGACACATCTCCTGTCGGTGTGGGTGAGTAGTTGATGAAAAAGCGCTTGGCTAATCTATTACCTGGAAACACGGAGAAGTCAAATCTTAAAAATGACAAGTTCTGTTTTAAGATGCAATGAGGATCCCAGAGTAGACACCCTAAGGTAAACGGCACATTATTTGACAGGTTTTTGTTTGTTTTTGTTTTTGTTTTTGTTTTTCGAGACAGGGTTTCTCTGTGGCTTTGGAGGCTGTCCTGGAACTCGCTTGGTAGTTCAGGCTGGTCTCGAACTCACAGAGATCTGCCTGCCTCTGCCTCCCGAGTGCTGGGATTAAAGGCGTGTGCCACCAACGCCCGGCTATTTGACAGGTTTTAAAATGTTACTAATTTCAAAGAGTTTCATTCCACAAAATGCCTCCATCAAGGGCCTCTGAAGCTCACTGAGGAGTGACTCCTGTGCCTCCAGAGGAAAATAAACACTGGGGGGGGGAGTAGAGTGTTTATTATTTGTCACCTTATGAACTATTATTGAAACACTGCAAAATCCTAAGGGGCAGACAAATCAGACAGTGATAAGATTGAGGGAAGGTACATGTGTGTCTGTGGAGGGAAAAAACAGAGTGGAGAGAAATTGATGCCACAGGACAAGGCTGAAAGAGAGAAAAAAATCACAAGGTGTACAAAAGACCTGGCACTTGAGTTAACAAACTCAAGAAAAACAACAAAGAAACCTTTTCCCACTGAGAAAAGAAAAATTAAGGGTGCTGCCTTCACTGAGGTAAGAACAAAGGGTACTACTGAGAAGAGGAAGCTCTGGGGCACAGCAAAAAGAAATATTTAGAAGTGAATATCAGACTTCAGAGCAATGAGGCCACAGTTGATAGGGATAGCCTAAGTCAATGGTGTAAACAGATGCTGTGGTTTCACAACTTAGTCTTAACACTATTAGGACGTTCTGAGATACAAAACATGAGAAACTAGTTAAACTCTGGAGCTGAAGCAACACTGAATTCCACCACAATTTAACTGATTTCAGTAATGCTCATGTCATATGTGTATGGATTAGTTGAGACACATTTCTATAAGGCCTCTTATTAGTCTTACAAGAAACCATAGGACATTAAGGCTGCTATAGTACATATTGTTGGTAAGAAACAGAAAAAAAAACTCATTTAAACTAGAATATCTGTCTACTACAATCCAGGCTAAAGATGGTCATTAATTTCTCCCTGTAATATATCACTTTCAGATAATTTGACTAATGCCCAGTTTAACCAGTTGGCCCAGTTGTGAAGTGTAGTGAGACAGAGAACTTGTTTGGGTTAGATAAACACAGCACCATGAATTTTACATTGCAAGTATCATTAGAAGAGGACAGGTTTTCTTCTTCTGCATGACATGCCTGTGGGTTATGTTCAAACTTTAAAATGGTGCTATTATCACTTTATCTCAAACAAATAAAAACCAAAAAGGTGGTTTTAGTTCTCCTTTCATGAGCACATTTGTAATAGAGAATTGTAATTGAAGCATTGATATTTGCGATTACTAACACCTTTATTACAACCCTTTACTGTCATCAATGCTCTCACAAGAAATTTTATTCCCAATAAACATGAATGCCCAGCTTTCTGAGCTTTTCCCTCGTGTGTGTGTGTGTGTGTGTGTGTGTGTGTGTGTGTGTGTGTGTGTGGTGTGTTATTTGCGTGCACATACATGCGTGTATGACTTGCTAGGGTGCTGAACCCAAGGCTTCTTGCATGGGAGGAGGAGCGTTTCACCACTGAGCTGCATTCCTAGCCCTCAGAGTTTTCTCTACCAGTCAAAAATTACAGTTGGGAGCTAAACACATTTACACTTTCACTCTCCTTATTCCTAATGATCTTAATCATAGTTACAATGGCAATTCAACCCACAACTTTTGCTTTTTAAGGCAGAGAGTAAGATGGGGGTAATGAAGCAAGGAGAAAGAATATGAGGGAGAGAGATCTTAGAGAGAAGTCCCAGGCTTATAGTGGGGTTTTTTTTGTTTGTTTGTTTGGTTGGTTGGTTGGTTGGTTGGTTTTGGTTTTGGTTTTTCGAGACAGGGTTTCTCTGTATTGCTTTGGAGGCTGTCCTGGAACTCACTCTGTAGACCAGGCTGGCCTCGAACTCACAGAAATCCGCCTGCCTCTGCCTCCCTAGTGCTGGGGTTAAAGGCATGCGCCACCAACACCCAGCCAGGTTTGTAGGAGGGTTAAAAGATTTGGTTCTATTGATTTTTTTTCTCAGCCATACAAAATATTACATCACTCTATACAAGGAACTTAAGCTTCTATTGCTTTTATAACCAGTTTCTTGCCAATATAAAGGGAAAACTATTCTTTCTATGAGCCTATTGTTACATTATTAACACATTTTACTCTATAGAACATCTCTGAGAATAGAGTAGTACTAGCATTATGCCAATGAATAACTAAAAATCCATGTGATTTACCCAAGGTTAAAATTAATTGAAATAAAACCAAATTTTGTGTGTGTTTTGGAAAACAGGGATATATCTTCATGAATCTGCAACTCAAACTAGACAGAGCGTACAAGACCAAAAACAGGAAGAAAGATGGCCTTCTTGGTTCCCAACCCTAGAACTGTTGCTTGGCACCCCCACAGCTGTGTCTTCAAGCTAAAAAGAATACTTCAAGCAAAAGTACTGAGCCCGTGAGAGTACTTCATCGCTGAAGCTGGCTCAGACACCCTACCTGCCCGTCCTGCTCCACTCCAAGCCAGCAGAAACAGTTTAGGAAGGGAAAGGCTCTTGGCTCAGTTTCAGATGACTGCAGTCCGTCACTACAGAAGGCGTCACAAAGCATCTCCAATCACATTGGTGAGCGCCTGTGACGAAGGCTTTCACATCAAAATAGCTTAGGAAGCTGTGGGCAAAGAAAGAACCCTGGCCAAGTGCGGCTTTCCCACCTAGTGGCCTAGTCCACCGCCTAGGCCCCACCTTCCAATGTGACACCACCGACTGGGGGCCGGGATTCTAAACAAGAATCTGGGACTGACACTTTAACGTGAAATGTGACAAACACCCTCATCCCAAAGGACAGGTATTTTCTTCTACCTTGTTAAATCTAAGAACAAACGTTCCTGGTTAAAGCCTCGAAACATAAAAGTAACACGTTTTACTGAATATTTAATGTCTCAAAGGTTAGCAAGGTCTGTTGTCAACTGTGGAAACTGCTCAGCAGAGTCGCCCTTCTTTACAGGTGGTGATGGGTAACAAGGAGGTGTTGCCTAAGAGGGACATTCTGAGAGTCAAGCCGCATGCTCCATCGGGTTCTCTGATGAAGAAATCATCCTAAGCCCAGGACCAGAGAAGCTCTGACATCCAGAAATCTAAGGGAAGCTGATCACCAGATCTGCTGAGACCCGAGATCCACCTGACACTGAAGAAATAACGGAAATGCAGAGGGAAACGTTTTGAGAATTTATTGGTAGGATGTATCCAGTGTGGAAGCCCTAGTTAATAACTATCATGGCCTTTGTATGTCATCCGATAAAAGAACTGCCTTTATAGTGAATGATAAATTCATTCAACAACTTTAATAAATATTCTAGAAAAAGTGAAACGTGGAAAATTTATGTGGATACGTGTGTGTCGTAAATTAAGTAGCTTGCTCAGCCTCTTCACAAACTCACCCTGTAACATGAGTTCTAATAGATCTTAAAAATAAAAGCCTGGAGTATATAGGGGAGATAGAGCTGAGAGATCAGAGAGGAGGAGCATGCTAAAGCCTTTACCTCATGAGCTTCCCGTTGGAACAGAGAGCTGGTTCCTGTCTCCTCCCGCCTATACACCTTTCTCCTCCCAGCCGTCTCACTTCCTGTCTGTCTGTGCAGACCTCCAGACCTCTGTGGTTACAGAGTGGCTAGCTCCACTGATCTTCACACACTCTCCACTGGTACAAACAAGATACCACCACATCGCACTACCTGTGTAGACACTTATACATGTTAGAGCATAATTTAAGGCCAGCCTAATGATTTCACTACCAAGTACCCTAAGCAATGAACTGTAAAACTGCCATAGGTTTCCTACAATTTCATCTTTCCTTCTGACATTAACAGAATTTATCAGGCAGTAATTCTGATAAGAATGTAAACAAAACAAAAAATGTAACTGTGGGGTTAGTGAGGAAGATAAAGCAAGAGATTATTTGTAATTTATAACTGCCAATTGTAATTTGTAATTCCAAAAATATTATCAGAGTAAAAAGATAAAAAAATTAATGTATTAGCATAGAAATGTTTTTCACTAGAAATCATAATTTATTATGTTTGGAAGTGATTAAGAAGTTTGTTTTTGGCCTGGCTTTGGTGGCGCACGCCTTTAATCCCAGCACTCGGGAGGCAGAGGCAGGCAGATCTCTGTGAGTTCGAGGCCAGCCTGGTCTACAAAGTGAGTTCCAGGACAGCTTCCAAAGCTACAGAGAAACCCTGTCTCGAAAAAAAAAAAAAACAAAAAAACAAAAAAAAAGAAGTTTGGTTTTGTTGGGGAAGTCTTATGCTAATAAAGCACTGTCTGGCCAATAGGAATCTAGATAGGTGGGGCTAGGAATCCAGGAGGATTCTGGGAAGGAGAAACACGAGAGAGTTCGAGATGTAACACCATTGGGGTAGGAAGCCCGGAAACCTCTCCGATAAGAGACATACTTAGATTAACAATTATGGGATAATTACTTAAAGCAGAGTTAGCCAGTAAGAGACAAGCAAGGCCAACAGCTTCATAATTAATACAGCGTCTTGTGTGTTTATTTGGGGACTACAAAGCGGCAGAGCCCAGGCGGCTGGCGGTGATAAACCAAAGCGGCTACCAAAGAAAAAGCTTCTTTGTTTGTTTGTTTGTTTGTTTGTTTTACTGGTTGTGATCCTGCATACAAACCCCAATAATCATTGCTTTTGTGCAAACTTAATGTCTGAATGCAATTTTTAAAAAATCAAACAAATATTTATCTTTTTGTGTGTGTTACAATATATGTTACAATAAAAAGTCTATGATAGTAACATCTTGGCAAATATTTCTTTGAAAATCGACACATGAGCATACAACAAAAGGACTTTGTTACAACAAAGATCAACTTTTTGAATAACCTTTGAGTGTTAAGTGCTAGGACGGGGATTCTCAACCCGTGGGTCACAGCTCCTTTGGGTGTGAACAACCCTCTCACAGGGGTGGCCTAAGACCATCGGAAAACACAAATATTTACATATGCATAGCAGTAGCAAAGTTACACTTATGGAGGAGTGAAATGATTTTATGGCTGGGGTCACCACAGCACTAGGAACATGGAGAACCACAGAACATTTAATATCACAAGGTTAGCAAGGAGATACTGTGCTGGGTGCTGGGTAATGAGCAGGAGAGATGACCTTGCCTGTAAGGAGCTTGTACTTAGCATATAGCACAAATAAGAAGCATAGAAATGGCCGGGCGTTGGTGGCACACGCCTTTAATCCCAGCACTCGGGAGGCAGAGGCAGGCGGACCTCTGTGAGTTTGAGGCCAGCCTCCAAAGCTACAGAGAAACCCTGTCTCGAAAAAAAAAAAAAAAAAAAAAACCAACAACAAAAAAAAGAAGCATAGAAATGTAATTGTGATAAATGCTAGAAATATAGGACACTTATGAAGATAGTTTATAGGATAGCTGGCTATTGCTTTAGTTTGGTACAGTTGCCAGCTTGAATGGGTTAGGAACCCCTAGGCTGGCTAGGCAGGCTGCACACTTTTAATCCCAGCACTTGAAAGGCAGAAGTAGACAGACCTCAAGTGGGCTTGAGGCCACCTGGCCTACACAGTGAATTCCAGGACAGCCAGGACTATCTAGGGAGAGCCTGTCTCAACATGTATGTATGTACGTACATATGTTTTTCGGGAAAGAAACCCCTACAAGATCAGTAAAGTACAGCTCCGGCAGATCCGTGAGGCATTTCTAAAGACTGGATCAGGAGGGCTCTCACGGAATGAAGGGACTGATGAAGTGTAGGATCAACAGGATGATGCCATCACTACGAGTTGGAGACATATGGGTGAAGCCTGGGCGGAGGAAGCAGGTCGCCGGCGCGACCCCGAGGGCTGCACCTCGCCCCTTCCCACACTCTAGCTCTTGCGTCACCCTCCCAGTCATGCTGCTTTGACCAAGCACAGAGCCAAGTGAGCACACATGGAAAACTCGACCCGTGTGTAACGACCCTCTCCTCCTTTGAAGTTGTTTATATCAGGCATTCTGTCACCGGGGCAAAACTGCTGAGACATGGAGCCCTCTGAGCTGACACCCTGAAGGGTGAGTTAACAAGCCCAGAGGAAAGGAGCCAGGACGTAACAGACATGCAGTGAGTTAGACGAAGAGAAAACAAGGGCTCAGTGCTCCCAGGCATGGCAGGACTTATCTGAATAGCCAGTTACTGCAGCCAGAAGCCACTGCCTTACTCCTGGTGCATCTGGATAACTAATCAATCATTTCCTTTAAGAGCTCCTTTTCAAGTTAGTATGGGTTGTAATATGTCTCATTATGGCACAATTGTATATAGGTGCATTATAGACCGTTCTAATTTGTTCCTTCCCCCATTGTTTTACTTGTCCCTTAGCCACCCCACCCATTTCTGGTCTTCCTCCAGTCAAAGAGTGAGTACTGTTTTCTGCTTCCATGTTACATGAATTCCATCACACTTTTTCATTCCCCTCTTACGACCTTTTTCTATTCCCCCATTCTCTCTCTCTGTCTCTCTTCTCTCTCACACACACACACACATACACCAGAGAGAGAGACAGACAGACAGAGAGAGAGAGAGAGAGAGAGAGAGAGAGAGAGAGAGAGAGAGAGAGAGAAGAGCATATTTAACCCACACGACCCTCCCTTGGTCCTACTTCTTCCTGCCTTCCATATTCCCCTTCCTCCCCACAACAGCTGCACTTCTGCATTCATATGTATAAGTATACATGCATGCATACATATACATGCATACATACATACTACATACATGCATACATATATACATTCTCTTTGGACCCCCTTCCTCTCCCCCACCAAGTCCTCCTTCTGCTCTTAGAGGAGGGGAGAAAAAAGTGGCGTGACAGAGTGGAAGCTCTTTCCACCATGCACACAAGGAGAAATGCTCACATGAAGACACAGCAAGGTGGCAACCAGGAAGAGGCCTGCTGGCAACCTCATTTAAAACTTCTAGCACCCAGAGCTGTGAGAGCATGCATTTCAGTTGCCCCCCACCCCCAGTGTGCAGTACATTGTCAAGGCATCTCAAGCAACCTAAGACAGTGTGTCTACACTATTCTTCACAGTCAGCAATCCCATAGTTCACATGGGTAGACGCAGACATGCTGGACTCTTTATCACACACAACTCTTAGCTCCTTTTTAGCTTAATGGTGAGTATAAATGAGAACTTCTGTTCCTGGACACCAAGATTTATTCATATATTGTTCTTCAGTTACACATAACTAGACAAAGGCGAAACCTCAGTTAAGTCGATCGCCTATGCACAGTCGTGTTTACATTCGCCTCTTGACATGCCATCTGGAGAGCTCAGCATCAGCATTCTAAACATCACAGACTGAGGCAGCCTGTTTGCTTGGAGGGAAGAATAACACAGGGTGCCACAGAATCACATCATCATAGGCTCTGACCACTTACAAACTCAGGGTGGATATGAGAACGGGAAGTCATTTGTCTTTTTATTTTGAAATCGATTACAAAAAGTTACAAATAAAAATCCTTTGAACCCTTTAATTCATTTCCCCCAGTGCTCTGCATTTTACCTAAATATAGCACAACGTGTAAGAATCAGGAAGTTGATGTCAGTATGATGTATCATGTAGGGCTAACATGTCAGTTTTTCAAGGTGCAGAACCAGTCCCAGAGTCAACTGAGTGCCTACTCCTTTAGTTGTCCCACCCTCTTCTACCACCCGAAACCCCAACAAGCACCAGCCTTTCATCTCTAAAAACACTCTGACAATACTGTATAAACCACTGTTTGGAGATCGCCTCTTTGGCTTGGAATAATGCCCCGGGACCAGTCAAACGGCTGTGCCTATCAGTAGTCCATTGCTTTTTCTTGTCGGTATTCTATGCTTTGAATGAACCAGTTCATTTATCCAGTTTAACCGTTCTGCTGATTGCCATTATTATTGAGTATTATATATAAAACTACTATAAACATGTATGGCTGTTTTTATTTGAGTGTAAGTCCTCATTTCTCGGAAGTATCTTGGAGCTCAACTACATGACCACGTGATAATTATGTCTAATTCTGGAAGATTTTTAAGGTTATCATGTTTGTGTGGGAGTGGAGATGGGTATGTGCACTTCGGTGCAAGTGCACACTAGGCCACAGGCACTGGGTCTCTCTGGAGCTGGAATTAGAAGCTTCTGCGAGCAAACCACTGTGGGAACTTCAATGGAAACACCGGCAGTATGCCCTCCTAAGTGCTGAGCCGTGGCTCCAGCCAACATGTTTGATTTTAAGAATCTGCCAAGTAAGATGGATGTGGGAAAGCATGCCTGTAATTCTAGTACTTCAGAGACTGGGGCAAAAAGATTGCAAGTTAAGGCAAACCTGGGTTTACATAATGAGACCGTTTTAAAAAGAAACTGCCAAGTAATTTTTCAGAGGAGCTACATCATTTTACATTAACACCAATAATATATATTTTCTCTACATCCTTGCCAGAACTGTCACCAATTTTAAAGTTCACCGTTCTAAGTGTTGTGGTACCCCATGGATTTAATTCACATTGCTTTTACGGCAACTGGTACTGAGTATCTTTTCCTATACTTATTTGCCATCCGTATGCCCTTTTCAATTAAATGTTTCATGTATTTTGATCATCTTGAGGTGGACTGCTTTATACAGTCTTTCTACAGCATTTCATATAGCCTGGATGGACCTACATAAAGGTAACTCCAAGCTCCTGATGTTCCTGCACTATTTCCTGAGTGTTGGTATTATAGGTCTCCAGCCATAAAACTTGCCTTTAACGTGTCAAGTTCAGTGGCAGAGTATTTTCACATTATCATACTACTCTTCATTTCCAGAACTGTTCATCTTTCTAGGCAGAAATGTACACCTTCTAAATAAATACCCTTATTCCTTCCCTACCCTTCAAGAAACCTCTATTTTTCTGTCTCTATTGACTTGACTATTTTAGTTACCACACATACATGGAATCATACCGGATTTATTGTTTTGTGAGTAGCTTTTTTTTTTTTCTCGAGACAGGGTTTCTCTATGGCTTTCGAGGCTGTCCTGGAACTCGCTCTTATAGACCAGGCTGGTCTGGAAGATCCTCCTGCCTCTGCCCCCAAGTGCTGAGATTAAAGGCATGTACCACCACCACCCGGCTTGTGAGTAGCTTTTTTATTTAGGCTAGTGTGTTCAGCATTCATCCACGTATCAAAATTTCATTCTTTTACAGCTGAATACCATCCCTTTGTATTTCTGTGTCACATTTCATTTAACCACTCATGTTGTTCGTGAATAGTTTTCACCTTTAGGCCATTTTAAATAATGACGCCAGGAACCCTGATGTTTACTTAGTCATTGCTTTAATTCTTTGAGGTATATGTCTAGAAGTGGAATTGCTTTATATTTAAATTCTTCACGAAGCGGTGCATACTGATAAAGGCAGCGAAGGCCAGCATTAGAGAGGTGGGAGGCAGCAGCAACCAGTAAGTCAACATAATACTCAACTAAGTCTTTCTGAGGGCAGCCTGGACAAAAGTAACAAATGCACAATTACTTTGCTACATTTGTTTTCAAATGTAGCAGCAAAGACAACCAAACTTTTCTCTATAGCTTTATCTTCTACCTATCTGAAAAAGGAGTTCTAAAGCCATTCCTGGGTCTAGATCCAAATCTTTTTTTCTCATCTCGTCCTTAGAACCAAGTCTCCAGTTCCCCGTCACCAAGCTCTTATCACCTCTCTACTGCTATTTTTCATATCATGAAAATGGATGTGTTAAATATTTTGATGTGTTCATGTTTTCGACTTAAGAAAAACAATTTGAACAAATGGAAACAAGCTACCTTTTTTGTCTTTTGGACACATAAAGGTATATAAAAGTAACCAACAACGTCTGGTTTCACGGCTATTGTTAAATAAGGTTGAAAGAAGCTACAATTAGGCAACATTTTCCAAAGTGAAAGCATACGACTCAGGTTTTTGTTTGTTTCAGTACGGAGGGGGGGTGGTAAAATCCAGAAAAACTTGTCAGGTACTCTGACCGCTTGGTCACATGCCCAGGTCTAGAGTTGAAAATCGTTTAGAATCTTTGGGATTTAACTTGAAAGGGCACATGTATGGTGACCGCATGCAGCCTTCCTTGCTGCAGAAGATCTTTAATGAAAGCTTACGGCATCGTCAAAAGTTTTCTTTGCAAAGCCGGGCGTTGGTGGTGCACGCCTTTAATCCCAACACTGGGGAGGCAGAGGCAGGCGGATCTCTGTGAGTTCGAGGCCAGCCTGGTCTACAGAGCAAGTTCCAGGACAGCCTCCAAAGCCACAGAGAAACCCTGTCTCGAAAAAACAAACCAACCAAAAGTTTTCTTTGCGAAGTACTCTTTTATACAGGCACACACACACACACACATACACACCTTTCCATCCTCAGCCCGCTTGAGGCGCGGCTTACACACCGTGCACAGCACACAAAAGCTCACTAACTGCACTTATTACCACAACTCAGTGTGTGAGCTTCCAGCGCTGTCTTTACTTCAGCAATCGTTTCCTGGGGAGGGAGTGTGGAGGGGGGGACCCAGCCATCTGGGCACTGGAGCCCGTCCATACCCAAAAAAAGGTCTTTTAAAAGACTTTCCCCCAAGAAGTGTGTTTATTCTTTACACTTTTCTCACTCCCCCAAGTTTCCAAAACGTCCTCAGACACAACACCCTCCAAACGAGCCTCGCGACCCGGGCTGGCAGGGTAAAAGGTTCCTCCGTGCTCGGCTGCAGGCTCAGCCGCCTCCCTTTCTACCCCGGCCGAAAGGGGTCCTGAACCCGATCCTGCTCGGGAGCGCGGGGGAGATGCTGCGGGCGCTGGCTCCCCCGCCCCGCCCCGCCCCACCCCGCCAAGAGCACACCCGGACGGCGTCTCCCGCGCTGTCTGCCTCCGGGAGCTCCGGGCACGACGCGCCCGGCCGCGCTCAGCGGCTCTCTGGGTCCCCCTCTAGCCCAGGTACGGCGACGGGAAACTAAAAGCAGCAAGGGACTCCCTCAAAGACGCCGGCGGCAGCGCTTCCGGATGTCCGCCTGTGACGCGCCACCCCGGCCTCCAGTGACGCGGAAGTGACGGCGCGGCTCAGCGCCGCCACGGCGCCTGCGCGTCAGGGACCGGGGTTGCCCGCGGCCTGCGGGGGGGGGCGGGGAGGAGCTAGGTGGGGGCGGAAGGCCGCGAAGGGGCGGGGCTGGAAGGCAGCGAGTAGAATGTAGGCGAGGAGAGGGGGCGGGGAAACCGGAAAAAGTGGGTGGGGCGAGGGGCGGACCTAACCCGGGGGGGACACCTCGGAGCTTCGCGTCCCGCTTGCCGGTATTTCTGCTTCCGGGTCAGGGGTGTCCGCCGCCGCCGCCGCCGCCGCCTCCAGCTCCTCGGGCCGTCCCGGCAGTTCGCGGTGCTCTCGGGGACAGCGCCTCCTGACTGAGCCCGGGCCGGCTGTCTTCTGCCTGCCCACCCGCGGGGAAGCCTGGCCGCCCTCGCGCCCGGATGCTGAGCGGGGTCGCGGGCCCAGCGAGGCTGCCGCGGGCGGACCTCGGGCGAACCGCGGGCACCGGCGGCCTCTAGGCGCCCCGGGACCCCCGGCTCTCCCGGCCCCCGGCCCGCATGGGCGCTCGGGCGGCGCGGTAAATGTGGCTGCTGCGGCGGCGCTGGCGGTGGCCGGACCCGCTGCTGCTGCCGCTGCCGCTGCCGCTGCCGCTGCTGCTGCCGCTGCTGCCGCCGCTGCCCGGCTCCGAGTTCACCCCCGCCGAGCCGCCGCCGCCGCCCGCCCGCCCCGCGTCCCCTGGGCCCGGCCTTGCAGCGTGGCGACCATGGACAAGATCCTGGAGGGCCTGGTGAGCTCCTCGCACCCGCTGCCGCTCAAGCGGATGATCGTGCGGAAGGTGGTGGAGTCGGCCGAGCACGGGCTCGACGAGGCGCAGTGCCGGGCCATGTTCGACCTGACGACCCGACTCATCCTGGAGGGCGGGGACCCGTTCCAGCGCCAGGTGGGCCACCAGGTGCTGGAGGCCTACGCGCGCTACCACCGGCCCGAGTTCGAGTCCTTCTTCAACAAGACCTTCGTGTTGGGCCTCCTGCAACGGGGCTACCGCTCCCTGGACAGGAAGGACGTGGCCATCCTGGACTACATTCACAACGGCCTGCGGCTCATCAGGAGCTGCCCGTCCGTGCTGGACCTCTTCGGCCTGCTGCAGGCGGAGCTGCTGCGGGTGGTGGGCGAGCGGCCCGAGCCGCCGCTCTGCGCCCGCCTCAGCGACCTCCTGACGGACTTCGTGCAGTGCGTCCCCAAGGGGAAGCTGGCCATCACCTTCTGCCAGCAGCTGGTCCGGACGATAGGGCATTTCCAGTGCGTGTCCACCCGGGAGAAGGAGCTGCGGGAGTACGTCTCCCAGGTAACCAAAGTGAGTAGCTTGCTGCAGAATATCTGGAAGGCCGAGCCCTCCACGCTGCTACCTTCTCTGCAAGAAGTTTTTGCGAGCATCTCTTCCACAGGTAAGGGTCGCTCTATTCCAGGAGAATACGCCTTGGAAATGATAAATCCAACGCGAGTCTCAAACACACTACCCCTTTCTGCCCGGAAACATTTCTCCCTTGAGGACTAAAAAGGTCAGCAAGCGGGTTTTGTTTGGGTAGATCCTCCTCTGTGAGGCTCTCCTGACGGACCGCGAATCTGAATTCCCTTATCCGAAATTGTATTGCATTTCACTGCCCTGTTCGGGATCAAGTCAAGCGGGTTGTAGCCAAAAGGTTGAGGGTGCCTAAGTCCAAAGACCTTTGCCACTGAGCAAGTCATTTAATTACACAGCCTGTGCTCCAGTTTTGGAACGCTCACAGGCTGACAGCCATCATGAAAAACTTCTAGTCATTACTGACTAATGGTCTCATATGATGCTTCCCACGGTGTCATTACTGTACGTAACCCATCATCATCTTCCTGAAGCTATTTTTCTGTTTCTCAGTGTTCTCTCTTTTTTAAAGAATTCATGGGTCGTGCACAATCTATTGTAAAATTGTCCGAGTTTAAAGTATTAACACTCCACAACAATGTATCTGACAAGAGATCCAGGTAGCATGAAAACAAGTATGAAGTATGGCAGCTTAGGTAGATGCTTGTCTTGTCTTTATCAAGAACTGCATACTCAGAAACTTGGGAAGGATCAAAGGATAATACTTAGAAAATACTTTTACCGCTGGGCGGTGGTGGCCCACGCCTTTAATCCCAGCACTCGGGAGGCAGAGGCAGGCGGATCTCTGTGAGTTTGAGGCCATCCTGGCCTACAGAGAGAGTTCCAGGACAGCCTCCAAAACAATACAGAGAAACCCTGTTTCAAAAGAACAAAAAAAAAAAAAGAAAGAAAGAAAATACTTTCACCTCAGAATTTTGTCTGTGTCTGATCTTTGGAGGTGCTGTAAAATCTGTCAAATTGAACTTGTGAAGAAAGCTGTCGTCTTTTTATCTTAACCAGAAATGAGGGTCGATTTTTAAAATCTGTATAATGTAATGCACTTATTATATACTAGGTACATTCTCTTCCCCATCCTGTAATTGTACTTGTGGTTTGTCATAGTTGTTAGATTTCTTAGTCTTTCAACTGTAGTAGTGAAGCTACCATCTTAATGCCTTACATTTATATAAACATTTATATTACATTTATATATTTGTACTCAAGATTTTTAAGTTTCCCATAGAGTAGAATAATGTTTCTTAATTATTTTAGAATTAGAATGATATCTGACTGGTTCTTTTTTTTTAACCCCCAAAAATGTGACATTAACAATGAAGTAGCTTATTAACTAAATGTAACAGTGTTTTTTATACTTTGGTGTTTATAGAATGAGTGATTATTGTTATTCACTCGTGACCTCTCTTTTCTATGACTTAACTTTCAATTTAGAGTCTGCTCATGAGATATAGTATAGCAACTTCTTGTAGCATCTTCACTGCAAAAGTGTGTGTGTGTCCCTTCAACTTCTTCACTCTGAACCTGCTTGCTCTGTTTATCTTTCCTACTGAAAACTAGATGCTTCCTTCGAGCCCTCAGTCGCCTTGGCAAGCCTTGTGCAACATATCCCTCTTCAGATGATCACAGTCCTCATCAGGAGCCTGACCGCCGATCCCAATGTGAAAGATGCGAGCATGACCCAAGCTCTCTGCAGGTACTTTGTTGTCTACGGGAAGAAAGAGGTGACATTATGGCTTTCTGTGTGCAGAGTGGAAAACTTAAGGAACGCTTCTTCAAATGAATTAGATTTGGTTAGATTGTTTTCCTAGATTCTTTATTCCTTACTATTTCTTGTAGCCTTCCCAAGTGGGGTTGTGGTTGTTATCGATATATGGTTCTGGGTTTGATTTTGTTCCTCTTCCCAGGAAGGGATTTTGTTTTCTCTTTCAACTGGGCTCCATAGATTATACCTTTGTCCTTGCCTCTTTGGATTTATGTTATTTTAGGTGTGTGCTTTGCTTTTGTGTATGTATGTGTACCATATGCATGCTTGGCATCCAAAGAGATCAGCTCCTGCAACTGGAGTTGTGGACGGTTGTGAACCTGGTTAAATAGGCTGGCTTTTTTTTTTTTTTTTTTTTGCCCTGCTATTAAATAATTAAACTGATTTTGTTTTGGATTTAAGTTTCATTTTAGAACATAAAATAAATAGTGTAATATATCAGATAATGATAATAAGTGTTTATTGGGAAAGGTAGACAAGAAGAAGGGTGGTTTGCAGTCTTCAGGAAGATGGCTAAGGAAGGGTTCATTGAGGTGACCATGTACTAAAGTAAGAGAAAGCAAGGCCTTGGGTTTTAGAGGAAGACACCAGCAGGCAGTGTCTGACTTAGGTTGGCTCGGTTTATGATTTCTCAACTTTATGATTGTGCCAAAACAAGCATTCAGTAGAAGCCATGCTTTGAATTTTGAATTCTGCTTTTCCTAGGCTAGAGTATAAAGTATGATACTTTCTTTTTTGTTTTTTTTTTGTTTGTTTGTTTTTCGAGACAGGGTTTCTCTGTATTGTTTTGGAAGCTGTCCTGGAACTCGCTTTGTAGACCAGGCTGGCCTCGAACTCACAGAGATCCACCTGCCTCTGCCTCCCGAGTGCTGGGATTAAAGGCGTGCACTACCAACGCCCGGCAGTATGATACTTTCTTGAAATGCTAAGTAGACACAGTGAGCCATAACACCCAAATCAGCCACAAGCTGGGTAAGCACACCCAGTATTCTACACCAGACTGTGCTTCTAAATCAGGGTATTTGGTAGGTTGCATTTAAGGCTTTTCTCCTTATGGTATTTTGCATTTACAAAAGGTTTCCAGCAGCCGGCGGTGGTGGCGCACGCCTTTAATCCCAGCATTCGGGAGGCAGAGGCAGGTGGATCTCTGTGAGTTCCAGGCCAGGCTGGACCGACAGCCTCCAAAACAATACAGAGAAACCCTGTCTCGTAAAACCAAAAAAAAAAAAAAAAAAGAAAGAAAGAAAGAAAGTTTCCAGCACCATCCTAAAACCTGCTCAGTTTCCTCTATGAAGGTGACCATCTGTGGTGCTTATTCCAGCTGTTGAGTTTCTGTGTTTCGGTAATAGTGTTGTTTTCTAATTGGACTTTAACTTTCTTGTTTCTTAGCTGCTTAATTTTGTTTCTTGGGTTTTTCTATCTTATATATTTGGCCTGTTTAAACAGGCGGTGAGGATTACAGTGGCTTCTGTGTGTCTGTCATTAGTTACATGAACTGAAGTAGTGTATGTTAAGCACGAGAGTGCCATGCTCACTGATGCCACTCTCTCTACAACACACCCTAGCTTCTTTGCTGTTTATTAGTTAATGGGACCAGTTCATCTGTAACTTGTGCTTCTAACTTCTCAGATCACAAATCTAGACTCAAGTGGAATTCCATTCTTTCTCTTACTTTGACTAATATCACTAAGTCCTTTGAATTCTGTCTACCATTTGTAGAAATCAAACCTGTTTTTGCTATAGTAGTCTTCTAGTTGGTTAGATGTACATCTAGTCCAAGGACATAGATAACATTCAAGTATGAAACAGCCCAGGAATCAGTGAAATGATGAGAACTGAGGGTAATCGTAATCAGCTTCTGAGAAAGAAAGATGGGCTTCAGCTCCAGGTGTCTGTTGACACAGAGAAACTTGAATCTGGTCTTGCCTGAGAATTTTCAAAGAAGCCTAAAGTCAAATGGTCTGTGTTAAGATTCGTATCTATTAGACAGACTGAAAGGTGGATGGAGTCCTCAAACTGCCTTGTAAAAGTGAAAGTTGGCTTATATTCCATAATTTGTGATTAACTCTGTTTTGTTGCTTCCCATAATATTGCCTGTTTTAATGTGGTTTTAAAGCTCTGTGTATTTCTTTGAGCTATAGGAATAAATGTCCTTACTACAAACACTAGAAATCCAAAGCACTAGCAGGAAACACATTCCCTGGAGGAGTCAACTGGAACACAAGGGCCTGCCATAGTTAAATTAAAGCCCAGCCCAGAAACTGCATTTATATTCCAGAGCATGGAGCAGGCATCAGTAACACTGTGATTGTTGACAGGTCTCCTGACTTTCCCTTCCAATTTGGGGGCAGAAAGTAAACCTGACAATAGCATTCCTCAGTACCTAATGCCTTATTAGCTAGAGTACACACTCAAATACTTGTCTCATGGATGGCTTCTGTCTTAACCTGTTCAGGCTGCTATAACGCCTTAGTCTGGGTAATTTATAAACAACAGAGGTACATTTCTTACAGTCCTGGTGGGTGAAAATTCTGAGATCAAGATCGTGACCTCTTCCACTTATTCTTCTGTGGTGGGAGATGCAGGGGCACTCATCTTTAGTGTTAGATTACTCATCCTGTCACAAGGGCCTTTGTCGTGGCTTAGTACCTCGCAGAGGCGTCACTTCTCAGCTCAGGTTAGATTTCAGCAGGAGTCTGAGAAAGATGCCTACACTCAGTCCATACACAGCAGGGTAAGAAGCTAGAAGAGAACTCAAGGAAAAGGCTGATTAATGAATGATTAACCATAAGTAAGAGCCTTGTCAAGTGGACATTGCTCCACTGTCCTTCCACTCAGTCCTCCTTACACTGACGTGAAGGTTCTGACCTTACAGTCTGCGGCCTGCAGTGTCACTGTCCACAGGCACTGAGTCCGAAGAGCCAAAGGCAGGTACTCACGCCGCCTCATTTTCATGGGCATTTCCCATGTAACGAAAAGAAGTTGTTGCAGTTGCTAACCTACTGGCATTAATTTTAATAGTATCTCAGATCTTTTACTTGGGGAGAAAAGGGGGAACAGATTGAGACTAGTCTAGCCCAGGCTGGCATAGAACTCATTCTGTGGTCCAGGCTATCCTCAAATTTATGGCAGTCTTGCTCTTAAGTACTGAGATTACAGGTGAGCCACCATGCCCTGCTCTTATCTTTCCATTTTAGATAGCTTTGAGAGCTTTATACAGAACTTACTTGGTACTAAAATTCCTCCACAGTATCTTATATTGTCACTACTACGGTATTGAGTTGTTTTTTTGTTTGTTTTTTTCTTTTTTAAGAGAGTCTTGTTATATGCTTTTCTGACCTCTGATTTACAGCGATCTGCTTGCCTCTGCCTCCAAGTGCTAGAATTAAAGGCATGCATGTAGCAGCACACCCAGCTTGTTTCACTTTTGGGACAGGGTATCATGTATCACAGTCTACACCCTCCCCCTCCCCCTCCCCGAGCTGTATGTAACTGAACGTAACTTGAGCCCCATATCTGATTTATGAAGTGCTGGTAATCAAACCGAAGGCCATGTGCATGATTGACCGACAAGCACTCTGCCAGCTCAACCATGTAACCACCCCGCTTGAATATTCTCTACAGAAATGCACACATGTCTTTCTTATTCTCTGTATATTGGCTACAGATTTTTCTGAAAAGCAGCCCTGCAATAGTTGGATGATAAAGAGTAGCTAACAGCAACTACTTCAATGACTTGTAACCATTATTGTAAGAAGTCACAAAAAGAAGACCTAAAGTTTGTGGGGGGAATGAAGGGCACCAGATAACTGGCAGTTAGTATCCATTGTACTTGAGATCCACACTTTTGAAAACATTTAAATCTTAAAAGCAAAAAAGCATAGTGTATACTGCTGTAAACCTAACACTTGGAGCCCAGATAAAAGGATTCCACAAGTTTAAGGCCAACTTGGGCAATAGAGTGTGACCCTGTCTTGAAAGCCAAAATAAAAAGACTGATAATGGTGATTCTCCCATCTTGAGGCGGATAGTTATATAATGCTGATGCCAGTGCTTTTAACATGGTAGCCTTTTTTCTTGAGACAGGGTTTCTCTGTGGTTTTGGAGGCTGTCCTGGAACTTGCTCTGTAGACCAGGCTGGCCTCGAACTCACAGAGATCCACCTGCCTCTGCCTCCCGAGTGCTGGGATTAAAGGAATGGGCCACCAACGCCCGCCCAGCTCACGTTCTTTCTTTTGATCACAGTTTATATCCTCTATTTATATTTGTGCAATCAAGGTGTTTATTGCTGGACTGACGCTTGGCTCAGTGAGATAAATGTACTTGCTCTACAAGTCTGGCAACCTGAGTTGATTCCTCAGAACCCACACTTTGGCCTCCTTGTTTGTGTCAAAGCATGCATATACACATACATGCACACATATACACACAACAATAATAATTTTTCTTTTGAGACAGGGTTTCTCTGTAGCTTTGGAGGCTGTCCTGGAACTAGCTCTTGTAGACCAGGCTGGTCTCTAACTCAAAGAGATACGCCTGCCTCTGCCTCCCGAGTGCTGGGATTAAAGGCGTGTGCCACCACCACCCACCTTAGAGTTTGGGTTTAAATAAATGGTTTTAAAAGATCCTAATTGCTCCCTGGATTAATATTTGGTGGTAGGTTACAGTCATGATGAGTGTTTCCAGTGTTATCCTTTTAATCTTCACAAGAGCCCTGTAAATAAGCATCTTTATAAACCTACAGATAAAGAAATTCAGAAAGAATTTAATCCTAGCACTCGGGAGTCAGAGGCAGGCAGATCTCTGAGTTCGAGACCAGCTTGGTCTACAAGAGCTAGTTCCAGGACATCTTCCAAAGCCACAGAGAAACCCTGTCTCGAACAAAAAAAAAATTCAGACAGAGAAAATAAGGTACTTAGATTCTCCCAACAAATAAACTGTGAGTTGAGATTTTTAAACCATTTACTCTGACTTTAGAAACCTGAAGATTTTTTCTTTACTCTTTATTACTATCTAATCTATCTTAAATAGATTACTTCATCAGATTACATAAGCATTTAGCTTGGCTGCTTTCCAAAGACTTGTACTGGTCTTCAGTGTGCTGTATTTCTAGCATTAGAAAAAGAAAGAGGTTCCATCAGAACCCTTTTTACCATTGAAGTGGCTTGATATGTAAGAAAATCAGGTTATTAGAATATTTATACAGCTGGTATTTTTATGATTGGAAATTTTCTTCTATTGTCATTGTGTGTAGGATTTTGAAAGAGGTAGACTCTTGTTCCAGGATTCAGAATGTAACCTCTATAATAGTACGATTCACATTACACTACTTAGCAAGAAGCAAAATCTTGGTTGATAGTCATACATTTTGGTTCAGATGTCTGACTTTAAACTACTCCTATAACAGTTACTGTTGAAAAGTTCTTGATATCCCTATATAGCATCCATTTGAAATTTGATAGTTATGAGAAATGATCATTTATCATAAAGTCTTATGGGAATACATCAAATACAGAAACTGAACTTACAAGACTGGAAAGTGCTTGAAGACAGGCCCCAGCTTCACTTTGAGTCACAAAGTGAATGGTTACCTACCATAACTCTTGCTGCACCTGACTGATGTGTCTTTCTTCACTTTTCAGAATGATTGACTGGCTGTCTTGGCCTCTGGCTCAGCATGTGGATACATGGGTAATCGCTCTCCTGAAAGGACTGGCAGCTGTTCAGAAGTTTACTATTCTGATAGATGTTACTTTGCTGAAAATAGAACTGGTGAGTCAAAGTGGATCAGCCAATTGGAATGTATAGACTTCTGAGTGCGTCCCTGGTTTGGGGCAAGAGCCAGTGCAATGTAAGGATAGTCAGTTGAAATCAGTTTGCTATTTTCAAGCATTTAATGTGAAAATACAATCCACCTAGTAGCTCTTTTGTTGTTGTTTTTCGGCTTTGTTGGTGGTGGTTCTGATGGTTTGTTTTTATCTTCTGCTTTTTGGAGACTGTTTTACTACCCAGTACAGAGTGACCTCCAACTCACAATCCTGCCATAGGCACACAAATAGGAAGGTTATGGTTATTGGGCGCCATGTTTGGCTCCCATGAGTTCTGCAGTCCATATCACCAGACTTCTGTCACTGTGCTCTACATAACTGCCTTTGAGACTGCTTCCTGTGTTGCTAAACTCAGGACACAGTGAGTCACCACAGTTTTTGTTTTGTTTTTTCTCTCCCTTTTTTTAAGTTAGAAACAAATTTGTTTCATATGTCAATCCCAGCTCCTTCTGGGGTTTTGGTTTCATTTCATTGTTTGCCCTTGAATTCTATATCCATTTTTATTGTAGTTACTGTTCTGTTGCCATGAAGAGACGCCATGTCCAAGAAAAACTCATAAATGAAAGCACTTATTTGGACCTTGCTTCAGTTTCAGCGGGTTAATGCATGATAATAGTGTCAGAAAACAGACAGGCATGGCTCTGAGCAGTAGCTGAGAGCTTTATCTCCTGATCTGCAGAGAGAGAGAGAGAGAGAGAGAGAGAGAGAGAGAGAGAGAGAGAGAGAGAGAGAGACCAAAGCCCACCCCCAATAACACACTTCCTCCAACAAGGCCATACCTCTCAATCCTTCTCAAACAGTTCCATTTCCTGGTGACTAAGCATTCAAATATATGAGCCTTTAGGGACCATTCTTATTCAAAACATCACACTTTTATTCAGTTATCTAAACTCAGATCTTTCTCTTTTGCTTTTTTTTTTGATTTTGTTGTTTTGCTTTTTTTTTTCCTATAAGAATATTAACTGCAGCAGGAGAAAGCTAAAATATATTCCAAAGACATGGATACTAACTAACTGAAGAAGTGAGTAGCCTATCTATACTCAGAAAAATTAAATTCACTTTATCCACAATCTCCTGATTTTTACTCCCAAACCTGGTCCTCCCCCTCTTGATGAGTAGCAATCTCAAATAGCTTCCCTCTCTTAGGCCTCGTCTTTGAAGCAACCCTTATCTTTCTTTACTGTCTCAGCCACTGCCTTTAAAATACACCCAGAATCCTATTACCACTGTTAACCAGCTACGTCACTGTTACCTTGGTCCGAAGTTGTCATCATCTCTTGTAGCATTGATTTAGTGGCTCCCTTGTTCCTACCTCTGGCTCCTTATAAATGTTGCACAGGAACTCCATTTGCTGGCTTCGCTCATCCCAACTCCAGATGCTCTAGCCTTAACTCTCCCTCCAGTGACATTGTCCTGCCATGCCAGTCTTGAAGGCCTGGGGCAGTGCTGTCTGCCCTAAGTGTCTGTGAAGCTGGTGTCCCTTTAGCTTGTCCCTGTGGCATTTTAAACACCCTCCCTCTATAAAACGACAGACTCCTTTGCTACCCAGTATTTCCTGGTCGCTGTGTTCTTGTATTTTTAGCATGTATCACTGTTTATTACTTTTTGTTATCTTCTCCCTGTCCTCTAGCCATAAGCCATGTATAGCCACAGTACCTAGAACAGTGCCGGCCAATAGCAGGTGTGCCATACATACTGACAAGGCTGAGTGAATAGTGACTCTGGGGACTATATGCTTGCCTATTTACATATTTGGACATATTTCCAAATGAGGGAGTTTTGAGAATTGTTTGGATCTTTAAGTTCTCTTTGGTTTCAGTCCTACTGTATTTCCTTTTTCTCCCCCAGAATCTAACAATGTGTTGTGATAGGACTTTCCAGCAAGAGGGGACATTAGCAGAAAGGGCTGTCAGCCATAGGGAAGGGTGAATGCTTGTCCTGTGAACTGAGGATGGTGTCTCATTCCGCAGGTTTTTAATCGACTTTGGTTTCCTCTTGTGAGACCCGGTGCTCTTGCGGTTCTCTCTCACATGCTGCTTAGTTTTCAGCATTCTCCAGAGGCATTCCATGTGGTAAGTGTGACACATGCTCTCTATGAAATACTTGTCAACATGCAGCTCACATGCCTGTCTAGTGAGAAGACTGTAGGTTAGCCTTATAGTATCACATGTATATTAATTCTTAACAAATGGACTTTGTAGAATAGCCTGGCAAAGAATATATTTTCAGAAAGTGTCGTACGTTACCAAAACTGCCACACTCACAGTGATTGCCAGCAATTAGAAGTCACTGCTGTACGGGGAGCTGTCACTGCAGGATGCCTTTGCACACCAACAGTGCAGAGTCAGTGTGACAGAGACTACTGGCGATGGCACTGGAAGGCACAGAACGGTTGAGTCCTGCATTTGGGGCCTTTCCTCCTTCTCGGTCCACTGACACCGTCTTTAATAGTCTGTTACCTGCCACCTGGAACCAGCTGCTTGCTGGCTTGCATTTGATTGCAGTTTTGAGTTACTGCAGATGAGGAATGACAAGATGTTATTTGGGAATCTGTCTGTTTCAGGAAACATTCACATGGTATCTCCATTCACCAAGGTCTGATGATTTATAGGAGTAGAAACTCAGCAGCAGCAGGAATGGCTTTAGGGTGCTAATGCACCGTGACAGACAAGTCAAGGAGACGTGCAGAAGCAGAAAGCGTTCCACCTGCTGGCGCTCAGCTCGTAGCCAGCACAGTAGGCTCACATGGGCTGCCCAGTCCTCCTCCTTTGAGGGAAATCCAAAGGCTTTGTTTCAAGGAAACCTCAGCAATGAGTCATTTCATTTGATTTTTTTGGATGAGTGCTTTCTGTAGTCATTGTTCTCAGCGTGTTGAAATTGATAATGAATCCATAGATTCTTTGTCTATCAGACAAATCTCAATTTTGAATTAATTTAATGGCATACAAATAAAATGCCCCAGAAGAGAATTTTTAAAGAGAGAGAGGTTATAGAATGAAAATAATTAGAATGTTTATATATGTGTGTGAATTGTCCAAAAACAAATTCAGTTAATAAGAAATTAAATTTTAAAATCACAAATTTAAAGCATTGTGAGCTTTTTGTGCCTCTCCCTCTCTAGCCCCCCAGTTCTGGAGCACAGACCTAGTAGGTGACAGTGTAGTGTTGCACACATCTGCTAGAGTGTGACACACCGCTAACTGTAATAGAACTGAGGTTAAAGATGAGGGCATATAGTATTGCACACATCTGCTAGAGTGTGACACACCGCTAACTGTAATAGAGCTGAGGTTAAAGGCGGGGGCATAAAATGTACAGTAATTTTTCAGTTGAAAATTTTAAACTCACACTAGATGGAGCTCTTTCTCTAATTCCAGTTTGGGATTTTTTTTTAATGTTCTGTTAAATAATCTCATTGGGTTGTGGTATAACTCAATAGTAGAGCACTTGCCGACATACACAAGGGTGAGGCTTGAGCCATACGTACCCCAAAACAATTTTTTAAAAACAAGTGATCTAGTCAATAGAATAATCATAGCACGTTTCAACTGAAGGTGGTTTTTAAATACAACAATGACTGGAACTTTTATATTCCGGTAAGTTTGTATTTTAGGTGGATTGTGTATATACCATAGCACTCATACAGAAGTCAAAAGGCAGCTTGTGGGAGTTGGTTCTCTTTTTTCTAGCATATGGTTTCTGGGTAGCCAGCACCTTTACATACAAAGTCATCTCACTGGTCCTTTTTAAAAAATTATTTTATTTATGGGGTGTGTGTGACAACAATATATGTGTGGAAATCAGTGAATTTTCTCCTTCCACGGTGTAGATTGATTTAGGTTGTCAGGCTTGGTGACAAACACTTTTTGCTGCTGAGCTGAAGGAGGAGCATATTAAATGAAATTACAGGAGATGGAGGAATGGTTCTGCAATTAAGAGAGCTTGCCAGAGGACCGGAGAGGCCTAGAACCACTTGTGACTCCAGCTCCAGGGGAATTCTACACCCTCTCCTGTCCTCAGTGGGCACCCACACACATGGCAGACATTCATACAGACACATAAATAAAAATAAGTTTTCATGCAGTTATAATAATGTGACTTCGGAAACTAGATTTGCCTTGCTAGTCCAACAGTGTGTGGCTTCTTTAAGAAAAGTGTGTGCTCATCATGTAACACTTGCATTCTGTCTACAAGCTAGGGATATGCTGTCAACTTGTGTGACCAGAGGGCTTGTCTCTTTCTCTTCAGATTGTCCCTCATGTAGTTAACTTGGTTCACTCCTTCAAAAGTGACGGCCTGCCCTCCAGCACAGCCTTCCTAGTGCAGGTAACGGAGCTGGTGCACTGCATGATGTATCACTACTCCGGGTTTCCGGATCTCTACGAGCCTGTTCTGGAGGCGGTGAAGGTAAGATGCCTTTGTACCAGTCTAGTGAGCTGCGCACAGTGTAACGGACAAAGCTGCTAGAGTGTATTTACGGGGGTGAGCTGCTTTTAAGATGGCGGTTTCATTAATGCCAGGACATAATCTCTTATTTGACACCCCCATTCTAAATTGGCAGGCATATTTCTTAGTTCTGTAGTGCCATCCAGTAAAGGGTGTCACTTAAAATTCATAAGAACTATTAAAGAAATTGGGTACTCATGGCATACTACATTAAATGCATACAGACATCAGCTTTGCATCTCAGTATCAGAAATGTTGAGCAGTTAAATCCATCTTGGAATCTAGGAAAAGCTTACTGGTTCCCTCCCATTTTGGTTCTCTTTGGTGTTATAGACTTTTATGAATGTCTATATTTTTAAGAATTATTGTTTTTCAAGCTCATAAAGGGGAGGTTCTAAAAAGTTGATTCTGTGTTGAGGAATGGATGACTGGAAAATCAGAGTATAGTCAAAGAATTGGAGAACATAACTCAGCCAGGCTTAGTAGGAAGTTACTATTTGTCAATTCTAAACATGTTACTATCTGTTCAGCTAATTCAGACTAAGGACTGGTCTGAAAACAAGGCTATTAGGTCTGTGTGGTGCTGGTGTGACACCGCCCATTCAGAAGGAAATTACACACAGAAGCATTTGCCATGGAGTTGATAGGTCCTTACTGTCTGCCCTCATTGCTACCATTCTGTTGACTGACATACTCACTTCAGTGTTCCAGTATATCTCCGAAGGCCTACTCTCAGCCCAAGGAAAGTATTTTCTATCACTTGTCAACAACCAAAAAAAAAAAAAAAGGCACAGCTTAAAATGCTCTTTCTAAATGCGTAAGCATTAGATGATAATATGGGTCTAGAAAAGCTAATCATGTAAGCCTAAGTGGCTTTTCCAGTGTTCCTTATTGCCCATGGCTGTGCTTAGGTGTGAAGGTGGTTTTTTTGTTTTGTTTTTCGAGACAGGGTTTCTCTGTATTTGGGGGCTGTCCTGGAATTCGCTCTGTAGACCAGGCTGGCCTCGAACTCACAGAGATCCGCCTGCCTCTGCCTCCCAAGTGCTGGGATTAAAGGCGTGCGCCCGGCTGGTGTGAAGTTGTTTACACTTCAATTGTGCCTTACTAAGAGAGAATACTGTATGTAATAGTTATTTTCTTGCCTTTTTTTTTTTTTTTTTTGGTTTGCTTTGTTTTTCAAGGTATGGTTTCTCTGTGTAGTCTTGGCTGTCCTGGAACTCACTCTGTAGATCAGGCTGGCCTTAAACTTAGAGATCCATCTGCCTTGGCCTCTGGAGTGTTGTGATTCACGATGTGTGCTACTGCTTGGTTGTAGTGGTGACTTTCTAGATGGCGAAGCATGTGATGAGTGTTACTTTTCACAGTGAGGTCATTATGCTGACCTCACTTTTCATCCCTTCTCTAGGCCACCATTTCTAAGCATGAGTGCTGAGTGACTAGTGAACCAGAATTTGAATACAAGTAATTGACATAGGATTTGAATTCCTTGTCGTGTCAACTTTAAAGTATTTAAAGACAAGCGTGTTATCTCATGCCTATGGTCTCAGCACTTGGAATACTGAGGCAGGAGGGTTACTGTGAGTGATTTCAATAACAGCTTGGGCTACAGATTCGGATTTTGTCTCAAAAAAATAAGTCCCCTTAAGATTTTAGGAGACATTTCCCCCGTCTATTACTTTTCTGGTTGTGATGAAGTTAGTGTCAAGAAGCCACATAAAGGAGGAAGGATTCGTTTGACTCACACTCCGTTACTATGTGAAAGTCATAGTAACAAGAGCAGCTCTTGGCTATAATTTGAGAGCCAGCCACCCCGAGCAGAGCAGGAAACAGAAAGTGAGTATCAGCACTCAGCTAGCCATTTCCTTTTCATCCTGCATCCTCACCCTGCAGAATAAGGTCAGTAATCTACGAAATGAGTGAGCAAAGAAAGCGGAAGTGTCAGTGGGACACTTAAACCAGTTGGCTGTTTTAATTTGGAAATTTTCACTTCACCTTTAAACTTATCTTTTTCTTTATGACCTAGGATTTTCCTAAACCCAGTGAAGAGAAGATTAAGTTGATTCTCAATCAAAGTGCCTGGACTTCTCAATCCAATGCTTTGGCATCTTGCTTGTCTAGACTTTCTGGAAAATCTGAAACTGGGAAAACTGGTCTCATTAACCTGGGAAATACATGTTACATGAACAGTGTTTTACAAGCATTGTTTATGGCTACAGAGTAAGTTTCTGTGAACTCTCTGGTTTTATCTAGAAATGAGTACATGCTGAGAAGGGGAGAGTCACCCCTCCCATGTAAGCAGTGTAATGGTAACATTCTCCTGACAGCCAGCTCCCAAATAATGACACAGAGTCTTCTTATTTGTTATGAAAGCTTGCCTATAGCTTAGGCTTGTCCCTAGCTCGCTCTTTCAACTTACATTGACCCATTTCTATGACTCTGCATTCTGTCTTGTGACATTACTCTCTTCCATCTTACAGCCTCTGTTTCCTCTCTATCTCCTGGCTTCTCTGCTCCTAGATTCCTCCTCTTCCTTGCCTCCTGCTCCTCCTCTTCCTTGCCTCCTGCTCCTCCTCTTCCTTACCTCCTGCCCCTCCTCTTCCTTACCTCCTGCCCCTCCTCTTCCTTACCTCCTGCCCCTCCTCTTCCTTACCTCCTGCCCCTCCTCTTCCTTGCCTCCTGCTGTTGACCATTTAGCTTTTATTGCACCAATCACAGCAATGCACCTTCACGCAGTGTACAAACGTTCCGTGATTGCCATTCAGTTGTTTCCTTCTGAAACTGCTCATGTTTAGGAACACTTGAAATGCCAACATGAATTCCGTCTGATTAGATTGTGCATTGCATCACAAGGTTACTTTTCAAGTCAGTATGTCTTGATACTTGCACATGTAATGAAGGGATTGACTGAGTTGGCAGCCCTACAGTGCTTCTGTGCTTTTTCCCTGTACCTTTGCTTCCACCGCCCCGCAGTGTTTTTAATCCATGTATCTTCTGAAGAGTCGCATACAGTTTTCTCTGGCCATAGCTATTAGCTGTCAATCATCCACAGGTTCATTTTTGCTTTTAGGAAACTTTTAGTAACTGGCCAGATGAATAAAAGAGGCCTGCTCCTTCACACCCCTGAGTTACTTTCAAATCAGTAGCAAATCTGAAATCAGTTTGTTGTTAGCTGTGTGGTATCCTTGTGCTGGAGATGTAGCTCAGATGTAGCTAAATGAGCCCTGTGTGATCCCAGCACCTCATAAAGTCCAGCTTGGTGTTGCACATCTGTAGTCCCAGCACGTGGGCAGTGGAGGCAGGAAGAACATAAGTGATCCTTGTCTGTATGGCATGTTCAAGGCTAACCTGGAATATATGAGGCTCTAGCTCGCAAAAACAAAAAAACACTGTCCTTGAAGGTACAAAATTATGGGCAACTTTTCCTTAAAAAAGAAAGACTATTTCTCTTAGTACCAATAAAATTGAGTTGGCCCCAAGATGAGAATTGTTAACCCCCATTTAGAGACATCAGACTTTTAGATGTAGATTAGCTTTAGGTTTTTGTGTTTGTTTCCCAATTATGGGGTTTCATACAGTTTTGTTGTTGGTAGGTTTGTATTTGACAACTTTTGTTGTTTTAAAATAAAGATGCACTCTTAGACACAGGTGGTATTAGATAAGACTGAGTCCATATCTCACCACCAGAGGTCACCTTGCCAGCCATCTCTCCTTCTTCCTCTTCCTCTTCTTCTTCTTCTCCTCCTTCTTCCTCTTCTTCTTCTTCTCCTCCTCCTCCTCTTCTTCTCCTCCTCCTCCTCCTCTTCTTCTCCTCCTTCTTCTTCTTCTTCTTCTCCTCCTCCTCCTCTTCTTCTTCTCCTTCTCCTCCTCCTCTTCTCCTCCTCCTCCTCCTTCTTCTTCTTCTTCTTCTTCTTCTTCTTCTTCTTCTTCTTCTTCTTCTTCTTCTTCTTCTTCTTCTTCTTCTTCTTCTTCTTCTTCTTCTCCTTCTCCTTCTTCTTCTTCTTCTTCTTCTCCTTCTTCTTCTTCTCCTTCCTCTTCCTCTCCTTCTCCTTCCTCTTCCTCCTCTTTTTTCTTTTTTTCTTTTTTTTTGGGGGGGGGCAGGGTTTCTCTGTGTAATATTAGAGTCTCTCCTGGCACTCAACTCTGTAGACCAGGCTAGTCTCAGACTCACAGAGATCCACCTGCCTCTGCTTCCCAAGTGCCCGGCCCAGCCATCCCATCTTATGTAATGCAAAGTGGAGACCAACAGCAACTGTGACTGGAAAGTGTTGTTGTGATGGCCAGTGATGATATCTCAGAACAGGAAGATCTAAGGAATACGTGAATTCCTTTTCATGGTTTTAAAAAATCTTCATCAATAAAAACCAAGATGTATATATTCTCAAAAATGTCAGCTATGTGCATTGTTCCAGATTATTGTTCTACAATTATCTAATATAAAAACAATTACATATAATTAATGTATCCAAACACACATGTGCAGAGAATCCTGTTGAAATTTTCTTTGCCAGTCACTTGCCTTTAGCACTTAATAACTTCCCCATGTGAGAGCCATGCAGATCTGTTACTCTGAGTGAGTAAGACATGGTTTTCACATTTTTTTTTTTTTTGCTTTAAATTTATTTGTTAGTGTGGGATGGGAACTTGCATGCGTGCCATGACGCACATGTAGAAGCCAGAAGAAAACTCTGGAGTTAGCTCTCTCCTTCCACCTTTCCATGGCTTCCAGGACTAGAGCTCAGACCTCCAGACTTGTGTGGCAAGTACCTTTACACTGAGTCATCTTGCCAGCCTGACAGCCATACTGTCAGTGAGCATCAGAGTTTTGCTCATAGCTAACATTTCTCTAACCATGTACAGATGGGATTTTCTTTAACTAGGATATGACAGATTACTCTCCCCCAACACTGTGTGTGGTGGGGGCTAGGTGGGAGAACTCATCCTGTAGAGTTATATAGAGTCTGGATGTCTCCTAAATCAACTTCTTTACCTCATGGCCCTCATGAAACCTGGAGCTCCCCACTGCAGTTGGGCTGGCTGGCCAGCAGGGCTCCCAGAATCCATTTGTCTTTGCCCCATAGCGCTGGGGTTACAGGGGAGAGGCAGCTTTCCTGTGAATGCTGGAACGTGAGCTTACGTCCTCACTTTACCCACTAACCATCTGTCTCCCCAGCCAAGTTTGACCTTATGGCCAATATATATTTGTACCTGTGACCTTATACCTCTGACAGTTCTTGACGTAATCAGTCTTAAATTTAACAATTTGGCAAATGTCATTCTTGTTTTCTTATTTGAGAAAAGATAGGGTCTTGCTCAGCCTGGCCTCAAACTCAGGATCCTGCTGCCACAGCCCTGAGTGTTAGGGACTGCACGTGCATACCCTGCACACAGTTAGTCTTTGTGCTTTTATCTGAACATTGTTCACCATTGTGCATTTTTCCCCTCTTTTCTCAGAACAAAATGAAATGAATGAGCTATTATTGTCTTTGTATGTCTTGCTATTGACTTTCTGTTTATTTTCCGAGTCAGTTTATATGAATTCTGTATGATAATCCTGTGGGTACTTGCTTTCTTCCAGTCATGTGGATCAAATTTAAATAGTACTTTGTATATTTTTGTTTTATATAGTCGCATCTTTAATTTTATATTGTCTAGAATTAGACCTACCAAAAAAAATGCCCTTTTTACTTTTTAAGTAATTTTTTCTGATGTTTAACCAGCTATTCCTATACTATTTTTATAATAGCTGCCCCCCCTTTTGTTTTTTTCTTTTGCACTCTTGCTTTTTGTTTGAATATACTCCCCCTTTCTCTCCCTTCCTCCAGTGATGGCCTAGAACTCACTCTGTAGCCCAGACTGGCTTAAACTCGTCTTTCCCCTGTGTCTCATGAGTGCTAGATTACAGGTATATATACCACCAAACCTGGCTTGCCGCACACTTCTTTCATGTTTAAGAGTTACTTTCACTTAGAGACGGAGAGAGAGCATAGTGGAGTATGTCTTTAATCAGCACTCAGGAGGCAGAGAGAGGCAGGGGCATCTCTGAGTTCCAGGTCGTCATGGCCTACAAAGAAAATTCTAGGACTGCCAGGTCTACACAGAGAAACCCTGTCTCATAACCCCCGTCCCTCCAAAAAAATTACTTCTATTTAGAGGGGGAGAGGGGAGAAATTCAGTTGTCTACAGAGGTTGTAGGATCCCCTGGAGCTGCCCGGCATGGGTGCCAGGAACCGAACTCTGACATTTTGCAAGAGCAATAGCATCTTTTAGCAGCTGAGCCTTCTCTCCTTTTAGCTTTATTTTCTCTATGTTGGTGTTTTGTCTGGTGTCTGTCTGTGCCTCACTTCAGTGCCTGGTGCTGTGGAGTCCAGTAGAGGGCATCAGAGCCCCTGAAGCTACAGTTACAGGCGGTTTTGAGTGGAACCCACGTGTCTGGAAGAGCAGCTAGTGCTCTCAACTGCTGAGTCACCTCTCCAGTGGCTCGCCTACTCTTTTTAAATCACCCCAGCTTTGTGATGTTTTGATGGCAATGTATTTTTTACCTCGGTTATTTTGAAATAATTTGAAAGTTCATTTTGTAAGTTAAAGTTAATGCGTTAGCCTATTTATATTTGCTGACCCAGAAAATAGAAACTATGTCAGTATACATAGACTGAGTCGTGCATAGAAAGTGGCTGTCTGTTATTGTCCTCCTTCAGAACTTTACATGTATGCCGTAACTGTTAGGTAAAGGCCACCCTTAAGTCAGGTAACTGAGGGAGTAATTCTCAAGCCAGTTTCCTTTAAACTTTTTTTGTAAAAAGTACATGTATGTGTGTGTGTGTATATATATAACATATTTTATTGTTTTTCAGTTTCAGAAGACAAGTGTTATCTTTAAACCTAAACGGTTGTAATTCGTTAATGAAAAAATTGCAGCATCTTTTTGCCTTTTTGGCTCATACGCAAGTGAGTATGTGTGTGTGTGGTGTGCACATATTAACTCCATGATAATGTTCTTTAAACCACGTGTTATAATTGTGTACGGTGTCTCCCTGGGGTAACATCCACCTGTGCATCCTGCCTGAACTCCTTAGCACACCTGTTTCTCCTGCTTGCCATCTCTGTAGATGACTCTGATCCTGACCAGTGTGTTGCTCTAAACCTGCTGCACGCAAAGTCTAATTTCCTGTCAATAAACAGTCTCCTTCATGAAGAAAGGCTGAGGCAGAACTACAGGGAGCTCAGGACCTGTCTGGGTTATGTATATAGCAAGGACCTGTCTCAAAAAGAGAGAGGGATGGGGGGGTGCTTTAATTGTGGTTGGGATTTCTTTTGGTTTGGTTTGCTTTTTGTTTTTTTAGTTTATAGAAACTTAACTATATTGACATAATAATGAACAGCTGAAGTAGTTTTGTGGTCTAGGCTTACTTGGTTTTGTTTTCTTTTCTTTTGGTTTTTCAAGACAGGGTTTCTCTGTGTAGTTGAAGCTAGCCTCAAACTCACATCCACCCTTCTCAGTCAGGGTCCTGACCCCTGTAAAATTTTCCCGGACTGAGAAGGGCAGTGTTGCTTTATGCCGCAAGTATTTAAAATATAGAGAATTCCAGATTTTCAGATCAGATTCAGATGCTTTCATATATCTGTGCAGTTCCATTTGTGAAATCATCTGAGATTTGAGCCTGATAGCCCCAGGGTCCATTTCAGCTGCCTTTGTACTTCTTAGAGAGAGGAGGGATGAGCAAGGTCCTACCAGAGTGTTCCCATCCCACACATGTGTGATGTATGCCAGAGAAAAGTTCTCAGCAAAGTGGATGTGGGTGGCTCCCGTCACTGTACCACTACACACACACACTAACACACTAACATCATGCTCACACTCAATTTGTCATAGGGACTCAAACACATGCATGTCATAGACGTATAAATTCCAGGGGCAATATGTAAAGAGCTAGAGACATCTGAGACCTGATGGGATCACCCTGCTGTCCACTTGGCTCTTTGATCTGAGCAGGTCCCTGAGCTTTCCTGGGCATCAGTTGTCTGCAGAATTTGACTGAAGTTTGCTCAACATAAAAGTTTTCTCTGCCTCCGAATTGCACCTATGCCTGGCATGTTGCAGTAGAAATGGAGTACAGTAGAATGTCAAGTGTATTAAGCGTCATGTTACAGGTCCAGTTAGTGGTTTGCTGTAAGAGTGACTTTCTTGCATTTTCTTTCTGCTATCAAGAGGGAAGCCTACGCACCTCGGATATTTTTTGAGGCTTCCAGACCTCCATGGTTTACTCCCAGGTCACAGCAAGACTGCTCTGAGTACCTCAGGTTTCTGCTGGACAGGTACAGAGTCTTTAAAACTTCATTTAAACTGTGTCTTCTCTTAATGCTTTAGCTCCACTTAATACTGGTTTTAGCTTTAAAGCACATTTTCAGAATCAATCTTTAAAAATATCCTTGTGTTACTGCATGCTTCTAAAGTTTTCTTTTCTAATTTGGTTTTGGTTTTCAATGCTTTCGCTTTAAAGTACCTGTTACCAAAACATAGTAGAAGATTCATAAGGGACCCCATATCTGGGAGCTCAGCTTTTCTTCACATATTTCATCTGATATCAGTAAGGAAGGATACAGTACAGACGCCAGTGTCTGTCTTCTATGAAGCCAGATGCTTAGAATACATACAGAGTGTGAGACAGGGCCATTATTCTAAAAATGCTGCATATTCTATCTGATGGGTTCATTTCTAAATATATTGCTGTATATATTTGATTCTGGCTTTATATGGTAGATTGTGTGTGTGTGTGTGTGTGTGTGTGTGTGTGTGTGTGTGTGTGTGTGTGTGTGTGTGAATTGGTTACTTTTCTATTGCTTGATAAAATTCACGTATAGGGAAAAGTTGATTCTGGCTCACAGTTGCAGAGAGCCCACCATCTGTCAGGGCAGAAGAGGCCTGGCAGCAGGAGTTCAAGGCCAGCCTGGCAGTTGTCGAGCAAAGAGAAGAGGCAGTGGGACCAGGCTAGAAGGACTTGAAAGCCTCCCTCAGCAAGGCTGTGCCTCCTAAACAGTTTTGGTTTTGGTGGTTTTGGTTTAATGAATACAAAGGGGCCCTGAGACCAAAATCTTAAGATCCAGTTTATGAGGGTTTGGTAAGTTATAGTGGGTTTTTGTTTGTTTGTTTAACCACTTATTTAGTAATATAAGTGACTGTTGCAGTGTATTTCTCTGTCTTCCTTTGACTAATAAAGTTGGTCGTGCCCAGCTGCACAGCCTTCCTTCTTTCAGCACAGGCCATGGTTCTTGGTACTAGGCTGCCAAGATGTGCAGTGTGTGGAGATGGTGTGTAACTGAGTGCAGGGTGGTGTGAGCTGTGAGAGAGCACAGGGGAGTGAATGAGAGTGTAGCGAGGCCTCAAGGCCTCTCCTAGACTGTGACATTCATGCTCTTGAGCCAAGATCAAGCTGTGAACCACATTAAAGGTGGCTGTGTCATGATGTCCCCTCCTGCACAGGCTCCATGAAGAAGAGAAGATCCTACGGGTGCAGTCCTCACACGAGCCTGCTGAAGGTCTGGGCTGTGCTGACACTTCTTTGCAGGAGGTAACCAGTAAGGCAGCTGCAGGGACAAGTGACAACGAGAAGACCTTAATAGAGAGAATGTTCGGAGGGAAGCTACGGACTCATATCTGCTGCCTGAACTGCAGGAGCACCTCACAGAAGGTGGAAGCCTTCACAGACCTCTCACTGGCCTTCTGTCCTACCCCTGCTGTGGAAGACTTGCCGTCCTTTCAAGATCCAGCGTCGCTCCCCACTGCCCAAGATGATGGCCTGATGCAAACCAGTGCTGTTGACCCAGAGGAAGAGCCAGTGGTCTATAGTCCAGCAACAGCTGCTTTTGTCTGTGACTCCACTGTGAATCAAAGAATACTGGGCAGTCCTCCTGTCGAGTTTCACTGTGCAGAAAACTCTTCTGTCCCTAGTGAATCTGCGAAGATTGTTATCAGTAAAGATGTACCTCCAAATCCCGGAGGCGAAGCCACACCTTCAGTAACTGACTTACTCAACTATTTTTTGGCTCCTGAGATTCTGACTGGTGACAACCAGTACTATTGTGAAAATTGTGCCTCTCTGCAAAGTGCTGAGAAAACTATGCAGGTCACGGAGGAGCCCGAGTACCTCATTCTTACGCTGCTCAGGTTCTCGTATGACCAGAAGTACCATGTGAGAAGAAAGATTTTAGACAACGTGTCACTGCCGCTGGTGTTGGAGTTGCCAGTTAAAAGAACTGCTTCCTTCTCTTCCTTGTCAGAAAGCTGGTCTGTAGATGTTGACTTCACTGATATTAATGAGAACCTAGCTAAAAAATTAAAGCCTTCTACGACTGAAGAAACCTTCTGCCCCAAATTAGTACCCTACCTATTAAGTTCTGTTGTTGTGCACTCTGGTGTGTCCTCTGAAAGTGGACACTACTATTCTTATGCCAGAAACATCACAGGGACAGAGTCTTCGTGCCAGGTGTGCCCCCAGCCTGAACATCTGGCACTGGCACCCTCCCAGAGTTGCTTACTAGGGGGAGAAAGCCCCAGTGCAGCCATTGACCAGGACTTGGAAAATAAGGAAATGTCACAAGAGTGGTTTTTATTTAATGACAGCAGGGTGACATTTACTTCGTTTCAGTCAGTCCAGAAAATCACAAGCAGGTTTCCAAAAGACACAGCTTACGTGCTTTTATACAAAAAACAGAGCAGTGCTAATGGGTTACGCAGTGACAACCCAGCCGGTGGCGTCTGGGTCAATGGAGATCCACCACTACAGAAAGAGCTGATGGATGCCATAACAAAGGACAACAAACTGTACTTGCAGGTGAGTTGCAAATACAAGTGTCACTTCTGTACACTACTGAATCATAGGAAGTTCATCTGATGCCCTGATTTTAAACTAAATACATTTTCCAGGGAGAGTGAAACTTAAGTCCGGATTTATACATTTCAACTAGTTGTAAATGTAATGTGAAAGACGCCAATTGTATGCAATATAGAAAACTTTGTTTTAATTACAGAATTCTGCCTCAGTTGTGTATAGCTGCAAAAATCTTATAGAAAAGATTATATGTCATATAGAAACAAAGTTTAATGGGATGTAAATGTCCTGCTTCCCTTGTCCCTGAGTTCTACCTGCAGGGAAACAGCTGCTGACTTTTTTCCATTTTTAACTATTGGGGTTGGGGTGCACTGTGGGAGTCAGGACAGCTTTGTAGAGCCAGCTCTCACACTGTCCCTCCACGAGGGGTCTCACTACAGGCTCTGAGTCACCTCAGCATCCCACAGCTGCATGTGATGCTAATTCCTGCAGGCTGTTTCCTAGTGTTTAAGGAACATTTATTGACATTTAGATGGATCAGAACTTGTGAAGGAAGTTTGTTCCTCAAGGATCTGCCCCGGAGCCAAGGGGCGATAGAACATTTATTCAGTAAGAGCTAGTGAGATGAGTTTATCTGTGAATATGTTGTTTTGAAGAAACTCTTTCCTTTAATGGTAATCAGTCTTTCTTTGAGTATTTGTGAAGTTTTCCAACTTTGTGTCAACAAAAAGAGCCAGCAGAAGCTAGGAGCAGTGGCGGTGTATGCCTGCAAGCCTAGGGCTAAGGAGCTGGAGGGACCCTGTCCCCAAACAAAGAAGCGATGATCAGGAATTGTAGATGAAATTATTACAGGACTAATAGGTGGCTAGTTCAAGTAATTTTATGAATGTAAAAGGTAATCTTCTTGTGTTTTAAGGTCACAGAACCCATAAGATATTAGATGAGAAGAAATGAACCATTAGTACTGATTTTTATGGGAAATTTTTTCAGAGGCTTTCTATTTACTGAATTATAAAATATCTAAAGGATAATACATGATACATTTCAAAGGGGATTGACAATTTTCTAAAGTGATACAAAAATTAACTCTACAAAATAATTAGAATTTTAGAACTGGACTGATTACCATTAATAACTACCCATTCTTGTGGCTTGGTATCCAGGTAAAACAAATAGGGTGTAAGCATTCATCTCTTCCTAGCCTTGTGTCGCTTAACATTGCAAATCACCACAGTGTTTAAAGGTTGAAGTAGTGAAAGGAAGGGCAGAGAGCTGGTTGCAGGAGAAAAATCTATAACATAAAATACGTACTGCAAGGCCCACGATAGCCTTCCCTTCTGGAGTAAGCAGATTACCAGTGTTAAGATGTTTAGCCAAGCCGGGCGTTGGTGGCGCACGCCTTTAATCCCAGCACTTGGGAGGCAGAGGCAGGCGGATTTCTGTGAGTTCCAGGCCAGCCTGGTCTACAAGAGCTAGTTCCAGGACAGCCTCCAAAGCCACAGAGAAACCCTGTCTCGAAAAACCAAAAAAAAAAAAAAAATGTTTAGCCAATACGGTGGAACTGGCAGGCATGTTCCATAGCCACAGCTACTCCTACGTGGAATGCAGTCGAGATCCACGGGTTCTTGTGGCTTACGTTCCCTCTGGCCACATGGCATTTGAGCATGGACACTGTTCTTTCCTGTTCCTTTAGGGTTCCGCTGCCCCACGAGTCTGCCTTTATCTATTCCCGGTTGCTCTTTGTAAAGCTGAATAATGACCTTTTTTCACTAAGTTTTTTACTGTTTTTTTTTGTATGAGTTTCTGTGTATACATGTGTGGTTTTTTGTATGAGTTTATGTGTATACATGTGTGTTTTGTATGAGTTTATGTGTGTACATGTGTGTTTTTTGTATGAGTTTATGTGTATACATGTGTGTTTTTTTTGTATGAGTTTATGTGTATACATGTGTGTTGTTCAAATGTAGAAGTGAGAGTGCAGTTTGTGGGAGTCACCACTTTTTTACCATGGGGAGTCTAGAGATAACTCCAGTCATCAGGCCATTTTACCTTCCCAGTAACGAATAATGTTCTATCTATGAGTGTTAGGATTTACTAAGCGCCTAGCATGGACTTGGCACGTAGACAGATACGTCTGATTTCCTGGTAAACTGTCTAATAAAGTAGTAGGAGAGAGTTGTAAGTCCGACTGTAAAGATGATTGCTTCATCTTACTTATCAGCGTTCCGTGAGACCTGCCTGCCTCTTTAAATCATCTAAAGAAGCAGTAGGGAGAATGCAGACATTAGCTGTGATTGCTGGCCTGTGGTACTCACACATTTCCAACGTGGAGTACAGCTGTTGAGGCATTCCGTTCTCGCTGTATGCGGGAGATTTGCGGGAGTTCCCCTTCCTCTGCTGTTAAGTAGAGTAGCAGCAGTGGCTTTCAGGGTCTGACACTCTGCAGTCACACGTGGGATTTGCCCTCTCTGCCTTGTTCCCTCCGTTTGTATACCTAAGTGATAATTGCTCTTCTTACTTTATTTTTGGGTTTTCGAGACAGAGTTTCTCTGAGTAGCCCTGGCTGTCCTGGAACCCTCTGTTGACCAGGCTGGTCTCAAACTCCAAGATCCACCTGCCTCTGCCTCCTGAGCTGGCATCAAAGGCTTGTGACACTATGCCTGGATAGATACCAATATTTCCAAGTGAAGGATGCTTCGTAAATATCAAGACACTTTTAGAAGATTTGTATATGTGCTGTGCTCATCCATTGTATTTAGATTTTAAATTTCATATACATTACTTTTCATTTTAGGAACAAGAGTTGAATGCTCGAGCCCGGGCCCTCCAAGCTGCATCTGCTTCGTGTTCATTTCGGCCCAATGGATTTGATGACAATGATCCACCAGGAAGCTGTGGGCCAACCGGTGGAGGGGGCGGAGGAGGAGGATTTAATACAGTTGGCAGACTCGTATTTTGACCCTGAGAGAATTGAAAATGCATCTGGTCACAAAACATCTAATACCATGGCTGTTAAAATGTCAGACTGTAACAAATAGCATATCTATCTTTTATTTTTCTTTTCATTAGACCTGAATACTTTAAGAAAACACTCAGTGGTTGTTTTTATTTTCTTGAAATACAAAATGCATCATGGAAAAAAATCTACCTCTTAAACTTCCATTTGCATTTATGGTTAGACGTGCTTGACCAAAAATGTTGAGAGGAAAAAGGTATACCTGGTCCCTAATTAAGCTGCGTTAAATTTGGTACAAGGATTTAAATGGTGTAGTTTCAGCTCTAGTGAACGAAAATAATCCATTTAGCATTCTTTATAAAAGAATTGATGCTAGAGGTTCAATACGTATATATGTTGTTTTAAGAAAGATGAAAATCTTTGTTTCTGGTAGAATTACCCCGTTTTTAAATTCAAGACTTTGACGAGTCTCTGGAGGCGTTGGTAGTTTAAACTTCCGCTGCCAGACTTTGGGCCTTTTAAAGGGACACACATACACACATACACACACACACACACACACACTCTGAGTGAATTTACAGAAGGTGCATGGCCCTATAGGGCAGTGTTTTTAACCTAACTTTGTAGTATTTCCAGTTGTCAAAGGACTTTAAATCCTGTTTCAAGGAGTGTATATATCTCCTGTGTGTTTCAAAGGAGGTGAGTCCTGTATGTGCCTTGCAGTACTGTAATTCAAAAATAGGTATATTTGGCTGCAGAGAGTTTTCTAAAACAAAATGTTAGGAAGTAATTTTTGTGCTAACATTAAATTATAATTTTTTAAAGGTATTAGATCTTTTTCAGAAGTAAAATCTGATGGTTCTAAAGCAGTAAGTGTAATGGTAAATTTCTAACTCTTTGAAAATTTCAGAGCAAATGAAGCTAGTAAAAAGTAAAAAGTAAAAAAATCTCCAATTGATTTGTTACTTAATCCTCAAAACATTAAACATTGATAACATTTTTAGAGTTGTATATTTGAGATTTTTTTTTCTCTATTTGAGACACATGCCTTACACTGTTTCTGCTTCATAAAGTCTGCAAATGCCTCCCCTCACCATCCTTACTATCCTTTTTTGGTTCTGGCATGTTTCTTGTGTGGGTGAAGAGTATGTGGAGTAGGGGTTTTTTTGTTTTGTTTTGTTTTTCTTTTGGCCAGGAAACTGGAACATGTCAGTTCTCCTGGGTCTTGATTATACAGTAATCAAGCACTGTCCCAGATACCCTTCTTCCTGACTGTTTTAACACATCCATGAGCATGTATTGTTCTGAAGACTGGTTGCATATTTATTTTGAAAACACTTTAAGGAAATAATGGCCTTTGGTGACTTGAGGTTTATCTTTTTCCCAAGCTTTTGTGGCAGTGATTAAACACAGCTCCTCATCTTCATCCTGCTATCCCCCACCCCTACCTGTTCCCAGTCACAAGGAAGACTCAGAAAGCAGACAGTTAGAGCTGGCTTCCTCCAGTCCTGAGAGTGCTTTCCTGAACTAGCCTGTGTTCAGTTAGCCACAGGCTGAATGGTAGCTTCTAACCAGATTGTGTCAGTCTTCCCATTTGCTGAAATTGGATAAAATTAGGTGAAGGGTCTTCTGGAACTTCCACAAAGGCAGTAAGCCCCCAGTTTTTACCTGTGGGGCTATCTAATATTTCAAGGATTTTATGTGTGTCAAAACATGATTGCAAATGAGAAAGTTTAAATTCTAGTAATAACACTAGGACTGTGCAAATTTAGGTGGATGACCAGTACCAAAGGTGAGGGCTTTCTGATGGAGAGTGTGGGGCGCTAATGGCGTGCCGGATCTCATGTCTTTGGAAAGTGAGAAGCCCATTCAGCTGAACTTAATAAAGTGGCTCCCTGAACTGGCCTGCCCCTCACACATCTGTTAGATACTCCTGCCAGGCCTGTCTGTCTCCTGTACCTCCCTCTCCTTTCCATGCTCTTTGTAGACGTTGAGAGAGTATGTGAAAGGCTGGCCAGACGACCATTGTTATTTCTGTTCCGTTCAGTGCAAGACAGCTCAAATGAAACTGCCCCTCGCTGCTAAAGAGAGTGATGTGTTAGGCTTCACTACAAACCAAGTACAAAGCTAGACATGGAAGTCTGTGCTTCTCAAAGATGCCTTTTGATACATTGCAGAAGTTATGATATTTTTCCACAAAGAAATATGCAAGAGAGCATGGTCTTATGTCATAGTGGGTACATGGTCAGCTCTGACTCTAGACATGATCATGGCTCGTTCTCCAATAGCCCATTAAATCACATCTGGGAAGAAAACAAATTCAGTCTTAAATCTGTAATTATGGGGTCAGTGTAAGAAGGTATTGCCACAGATTTTGAGGACCTGACTTCAGTCTGCAGGATCCACATGGTGGGAGGAACCAACTCCTACCAGCTGTCTCCTGACCTCCACACACATGCCATGGCATGACACGCACACGCCAGAGATAAAAGTGGGTGACCTTTGCCCCTTAGTATTCTTCGTGATGGTGCTACCTGCAGAGATGCTGCTTCCCACCGACCACCCTTAACTTCTCCCCTAAGACCGGATGCTTGTTCTGTGCCCAACGCACCACAAGGAAGGAAGTGGGAAAGGTACGGTTTGCTCCGTCACTGGAGGTCACCACGTTGACCTCTGTTGATTTGTACACTGCATAGTATATTCTATGTTACATACTCGCTAGAGCACTTTCTAAGGGAGTGTTTCAGAGTAAGTGATACGTACATTTGTATGTAGCTTCTTAAGAATGCTAGAGCTGGCGGAGTGCTCACCTGACATTTGAAGATCCCTTTAAACTCAGTAGAGGCAAGAGAACCAGAAGTTCAAGGTTGTCCTCAGCTACACAGTGAGTTCAAGGCCAGCCTGGGACAAAGAAGATCCTGCCTTCAATAAAAATGCTGTTCTTCCACTGTTTATAGTATTTTGTGTCTACTAAATTTGGGTTTCTGAAACTATTCCTAAGGTGGAAAAGGTTAAGTTAACTGTTTTATTTTAAAATACCCAGGAAATGTTGACAATCTCAGATGATGTCCTGTAACTGAGGTTTAAGTGCAGTACCAAAGAGACACCCAAAATGGAACAATAAGCTATTCACGTAGTAAACAAATCTGTCGGACTGTCTGCTGCTTCACTGTTGGGCTTTCCTTTTGCTAAGTTAATTTTTCTACTGAGTCCTATTTGTAGAAATGAATGAACCCAAAAATGAGTGCAGATTTTGGCTTTAAAAACAAAAAAACTGCTGCTTTCCCAGGCAAAAATAAATTCCTATAGACGTAACTGTCAAAGAAATGAGAATTAACATTTCTATAAACTCAACAGTCTTTATGTAAAACCTTTAACCCAGTGTTACATAACCAGTGTGGATTTAACATTAAAAATAGAATCTAAGAGTCAGCCAAGTGTACTGCCAGCTCTTGTCAGTGTCTGTTAGAGCCTGCAGTTGTTTTTCTCTTAGTAGATAGATTGCACCTTGAGCTACACACCACATACTCTTCATTGATTTGGGGTGCATGAAACATTTGCTTTCACTTGTTGATTAGTGGGGGATGGGAGGGCATGGTTTGGGGTTTTTGTTTGTTTTCCACATTGCACTCTTGTTAAAATCACTTGGAAGCCAGATGTAGAGTAACACACCTTTAATCCTGGCACTCAGAAGGCAGAGGCGGGAAGGTCTCTGAGTTTAAGGCCAGCCTGGTCTACATAAAGAAACCGTGTCTCAAAAAACTAATCAGCAGGGTGGTGGCACACACCTTTAATCCCAGCACTCAGGAGCATCTCTGTGGTTTCAAGGCCAACCTGGTCTATAGAGTTCCAGAATGGCCACGGCTACACAGAAAAACCCTGTCTTAAAAAACCGCACAGACAAAAGCAAATCATCTGGAAAGAATTTTAGAAATAATCTTATGTTCAGGCCTCATCACAGACCAAGTAAGTCGTGTGAGCACAGGGACATGTGCAAGTAAGGATGTGGCTTTGATATGAAGGCTGGCTTGTGAGCTTGGGGCCACAGGAGGAGTCATCTTCCTGGGGCTTTACCCCGGAAAAATCAGCATGGTAATTCACCCTACCTGCATGGTGGGATCATGCCCCTAAACAACATCAAAATGAGGATTTACCCACGGCTTCAAAACTTTAGGCAATACTCTAAAAGAAAAGACCAATGACAGAAGTAAAACTTTTCCAAACCACACAATAGTAAAGGCTCACAGTAAGTTTAAAACATTGCTAGTCTGCCTGACCTTTTGGGGGGGGGGACGGACAACTTAGCAGTAGAGGTTAATTGATCCTATTTGTACTCAAAAGAAGTAAGGCTTGAAAGGTCAGATTCTATTTAATTCATTGGTAGGTAATAGAACAAAGTCCAACACTTTCACAATAAACACTTAGGAAATTAAATTCATAATGATCATAATTACCATTCAAGGTATCAGGAAAACATCTTTTTCACTCACACTCAGATAAAAATCTGTTAGATCCAAAAATTAATGGAAAGGAGGAAAATGCAAACTAGAAGCTTAAAAGAAATGAAAAAAACCACTAATTTGAGGAGAAATGGAAGATCCGAGAGAGTTAACTGAGGTCAGAAACCCTGAAGCTGTCACCATCTCGCTGCTCAGAAGCAGCAATAGAGAAAGCCTTAGAGCAGCCAGAGGAGAACACAGGAGCTGAGCAAACTGTCCAGCGCAACCGCTAGTCTCCTGCGCCTTCTCACAAAGCAGGACTGAAACACTCATGCCTGCTGGCTTGCATACCATCTTTGTTTTCATGCTACTATGGCAGCCTGGTGGCAAACTGTCAGGAGTGTAGCTATTGGAGTACAAAAAAGCTGACTCAATAAAGACTGGGAACTATCGGCACCCAAGCTAGAAAGCAGCCCGACGACATCCAAAAAACGTGGAAAGCAAAGCTCCCAGGGAAATTAAGCTTTTTCCAATTTTTATTGCCAGGCTTCATCAGCTTAATGTGCTGCAAAGAATGAGTTGCGTATAAGCAAAAGCTGAAAGGAGTTAGTGACAGTGTCCAGGGGAACTTGGGCTTAAAAATACTAGAGATCTAGGTTTTCTCAGATCCATTGAAGAATTTTAAAAGCAGTCATGATCTCCTATAACTTCTGCAAGCGTCATCTCTTCAGAAGTCACCACTATTCAGTTTCCCCTGATGCAAATTCACCAGATCTGGACCAGCTTCCTGATCGTCCTCCCTAGCCGCACTAAGAGCTCCTCCCCCACAGCCTGGGCACAGCTTCAGTAAATCTCCTGCACTCAAGTCAGACTGCCCCAAGCTGGTGTATGGTGCTGGGGAGTATTTCTGTCACCTGCTTTGTCTCAGCGTGGCCTCTGATGGTCAAAGTGTCTGCTGCCAGAGACGCCTGAGCGTCTTAAAACGGACCACCGTTTGTAAACCTCTTCAATACCAGAGACACTGTTCACCCTAACTTCTTCAAGAACTGTGGTTTCTTACCGTCTGCTGCGCTGCTCTATGAGCCACCTGCCTTCTGCGAGTGGGTCCCTTTCCCGCGTGTGCCTACAGTTTGGCGACTTTTTCCTGGTTCTGGGTCGTCTCTTTCATATTGTGGATGTGACAGCGGGCCGAGTTGCAGTTCAGAGGGTTCTAGGCAGACACGCCGAAATAAGACAGACACAACCAGAATGCAAGATGGCCCTGAAAATATTTTTTAGAAGTAGCAGTTGCTGTTTTTATTGATGACCAAACCTTGAACAAGCAGCATAAAGAAGGCAGGACGCGCTGTGATTCAGTTTCACAATGCAGGCCATTGTTGTGGAGAGGAAGGCGTGGGCGTGCAAATGACTGTGGCTCTCAGCCTTGCTAAAACTGCGACCCTTATGCTATGCTGCCCCCAAGCATGAAATTACTTCATTGCCACTTCATAGCTGTAATTTTGCTACTGTTGCGAATCGTGCTGTGGATATGTGGTATGTGACCCCAGTGGGTCGTGACCCCCAG